CACCACCACCACCACCACCACCACCACCACCCACCACCACCTCCCCCACCACCACCCACCACCACCACCACCCCACCCCCACCCCACCACCACCACCCCACCACTCCACCACCACCCCACCCACCACCACCCCCCACCACCACCACCCCACCACCCCACCCCACCACCCACCACCACCACCTCACCAGCAGGCAGGGTTGAGCATCTAACAGGTGATATTTTAACTCTACTAATGCATAATGTTGTGGGACGAGATAACCCGGTACCTCCACCACCCACCGTGCCCTGATAGCCTAATGGGTGTACATTACCTCGCTTCCTGCCACCTCCCAGCCCACCATCAGCCTAGCACCATCAGCCTAGCACCATTACCCAGCCCACCGTCCTAGCACCATTATCACCACCTAGCCAGATTGAGACAGAAAAAGAGTTTGATAGAATGACACTTGACAGACAGACAGACAGACAGACAGACAGACAGGAAAATTATTAATTGGTAGACAGACCGAGAAACAGACAATTAGCTAGACTGACTGACTGACTGACTGACTGACTGACTGACTGATAATGTCAATAGATAGAAGAAGTAACTAAAGATATAATTAGAGAGAGAGAGAGATGAGAGAGGAAGAGGAAGGAAAAAGAAAGTCGGAAATAACGGCATTTTGAAGTGAACAACAAAGCAGGAATGTCATGACAATAAACTAGGCAGCTCTTCATATTCCCGGGCAGGAGGGAGGGAGGACACCGCCTGGTCAGGACACGGGATAAACTACAAGGGCGCCCGGCTGTGTATCTGACTTACGATCTGGCAAGTTTTGAAAATAGGAAAACAATTCTCTCTCTCTCTCTCTCTCTCTCTCTCTCTCTCTCTCTCTCTCACACGTTTTTAACACTCTGAAAATGATTTACGATCGGCGGGTGCTTGTTGTAGAAGAGAGAATAATTACGAATATTTTGACTTCAGTTTATTGTCATTTGAGATTTTCTTTCAATTTATTTATTTATTTTTTTTTTGGCCTTTTCGATATATTTATGTTCCGTTACTTTTGTTTATGGGTTTAATATATTTTTTTTTAATTAATACTTGATATAAAATGTTTAGATATTTTTAATGCTATTATTTTGTCTTTTGTAAGTTGGTTTGACAAAGGTGTGTGTGTGTGTGTAATAATGAATGAGTCGTAATCTCTAGGATTTCGAATTATTATTTCGACCTAAATTACATTTGTCACGTAATTGACTGTCGCTTTTGTCGTTGTTATTGGTGCTTTTGTTTACTGTTGTTGTTGTTGTTTTTGTTGCCTTTGTTGCTGTTGTTATTGTTATTTTTGTCTGTGACTCAAGTTGGTTGAAGCAGATATATTTTGGACTCTTCCGGGTTACATAACGGAGGAAGACTGTAACAGGGAAGCAGATATTGTGGACTGTTCCGGGTCATATAACGTACAGGAAGCGTCCACACAACACTACTCCGGATATACAGTATATATGATCTCTGACAAGACAAACAAAGACTCTACTTGATGAAATATTTACAAGGGCCCTGTTAGATGCCCTCAGAAGATAGTGAGAGCGCACCCAGTGTAGTGAAGATGGTGTCGGGTATATGACACGTGAGGATAACTAAAGAACAGTGAGGATAACTAAAGAACAGTGAGGATAACTAATGAACAGTGAGGATAACTAAAGAACAATGAGGATAACTAATGAACAGTGAGAGCGTTTTTTCTCTCTGCAGGTGAACAAAAGTGGTTATTAAGATCATTATAGTTGATTGTGTTCATGGGTTGGTTTCTACCTGATCGAGGGAGGTGAAATACCCTGAGGTGCCCCACTATAATAACAGCCCACAGCACCCCAACACACCCACAGTACAACAACAACACCCACAGTACCTCAAACCAACACACCCACAACCCACAGTACCCCAACAACACACCCACAACCCACAGTACCCCCAACAACACACCCACAACACAACACACCCACAACCCACAGTACCCCAACAACACACCCACTCCACAGTACAACAACACACCCACAACCCACACCAACACACCCACAACCCACAGTAACAACACACCCACAACCCACACCCCCCAACACACACAACAACCCACAGTCCAACAACACACCCACAACCCACAGTACCCCCAACAACACACCCACAACCCCCAACAACACACCCACAACCCACAGTACCCCCAACAACACCTTACACAGCCCACGCAGTATCCCATCAAAGAGTACACATGGCTTACATAAACAATGCCACATGTTCACTCCTAAACTGCGGCCTGGAACTACAAATGAGAGTAAAATAGAATTGAATTACAGTGTTAGTCAGAGTTCTGGGTAAGAGAGAAGACCAAGATAAGACTAATGCCCAAAAAATAATAAGTATATGATTGTTTTATTCAATTTGTTTTTTAATTATTTATTATTATGATTGTTGCTGGATTTAATGTTATTTTGTTTTTTAGAAGAATTGAAGGAAAGTAGCTGATCGCCTCTCCCCTCATACCTCCACTTACACCCACACCTCCCACTTACACCCACACCTCCCACTCACCACCCCTGCCCTTCCCCCCATTACTCCAACTCAGCTATGGATGAGAGGTCGTTCTGTAGCACTGAGGATGTCTGGTGTGTGTGTAAGAAGATACTAGAATTACAAAGCCTAATTGTGTCTTATACTCGGTGGAAATTCTACTTTTTTTTTTAATCAAATTGAGTCTCGTTAATTCCTAAGTCTTCTCGTTAAATATTTTGCTTTTGTTTCGTATTTGTTGGCATAAGGTTAGTTTAAGTAGTGTTATAGCGCTATTGTTATCGTCGTCATTGTCCTTGTTATCATCATCATCATCATCGTAAACATCATCCCTTCTCATTCCCATCATTTGTCTTCTTTCATCTCTTCTCCCTCTTTCTTCATGTCCTCTTCTTCATCCCTTTCTTCTCTTCTTATTCTCTTCCTCACTCTCCTTACTACTCTTCTCTCTCCTCATTCACACTATCATCCTCTCCTCTTCTTTCTTCCCTGGTTTCCTCCCATCTTCACTCTTCCTCTTCGTCCTATCCTCTTTCTCCTCCCCACTTCCTCTTCTTCTACCTTCATCTCTTGCTTCCTTTTTCCCTTTTCTCTCCTTCTACGCCCATTCGTTTTCTCCTCCCCCTCCTCCCCCTCCTCTTTCTCCTTTTCTTCCTCTCTTACCACATCGTCCCCCACCTCCCTCCCCTCTGTCAAATGCCCTCCATCTATCTAATTTAATTACCATGGATCTCACAGAATTATCCTGATATCCTGATTAAATCCTTCACATCCTCGTAATCTGAAAGAATTCCACTGAAGTCGCGGTGAAATCCCTCAGAGACTATTCAGAATATCGCAGAATTCTCCCTGGGAGTTTATTTCCCTCATTATTTAGGGAATTTCCCCCCCTCCAAAGTATTATATTTGCTGATTGGTATACAGAATTTTATCTTAATCTTTAGGAGTGTTGGTATAATGTGATGCCTTTCCCCCCTAGATGTATTATTGGAATTTGTCTCTATAGATAGGACATTTCCCCTAGGATTAACTTAAATCCCCCTAGACCTTAGATGAATTTTTCCCCAACCCCGCCTCCTCCTCCCCCTCCTTCCCCATGAGCCGTGTACGAAAAAGGAGACTATAGTAAAAATTATAACCAGAATGCTCAAAAGGATTCGTAAATCAAGTTGCATTTCCTCGTAACTGGATGTGTGATAACGTGATTACTTGAGGTAGAGTCTCAGTGCACAGCCAATCCAACCCAACCCAGCCCAAACCAACCCAGCCCAACCCAGTCCAGCCCAGCCCAGCCCAGCCCAGCCCAGCCCAACCCAACCCAACCCAACCCAACCTAACCTAACCGAACCTAACCCAAATTAACCTAACCCAACCCAGCGTCAATTTTACCTCCATGAACATAGTAAGAGCCAATTGGGTAGTTTCTTTCACGTCCCAAGTTGAAGAAGAAAATAATTAACGCAAGATTCTCTGAGACTTTAGGGGCTAGGAGGAGGAGGAGGAGGAGGAGGAGGGGGGGCCTTGTAATCATTCATTGGTGCAGGGATCTTTGAGCCGCCCGTCTCCCCCTTTAACGAGGTCGTTCGATTGCTTGTAGTTATGGCTAGGTCGTTACATGTGTAGTTATGGCTGGAGTCATTTTCTCTCGTTGCTTATTAATTTCTTTTCTTCTTCTTCTTCTTCCTCCTTCGTCTTGTTCCTACGTGATCTTTTTGTTTACAACTTTACATCATCGTAAATCGTGATTACTGAGGTGTGTGTGTGTGTGTGTGTGTGTGTGTGTGTGTGTGTGTGTGTGTGTGTGTGTGTGTGTGTGTGTGTGAGGGGACAGACGTCGCTCTTTTGAATGTTTATACGAGGCAGTGTCCTTTGATGTGTGTTCACTTTAGACGTGATCATTAAAATACACACACACACACACACACACACACAAGTTACTTTAATCTTCCTCCTGCAGGGCCTAACTGGCGAATCTGGATCGTCCTAACTGGTGGTGATTCTAGGACGTCCTAACTGGTGAATCTGGGACGTCTAACTGAAATTCCTGGGACGTCTAACTGATCTGGGACGTCCTAACTGGTGATCCTAGGGCGTCTAACTGGTGAATCTGGGACGTCTAACTGGTGATTCTAGGGACGTCCTAACTGTGGTGAATCTGGGACGTCTAACTGGTATTCTGGGACGTCTAACTGATGAATCTGGGGCGTCTAACTGAGAATGACCTAGGGCGTCTAACTGTGGTAGACTGGGGCGTCCTAACTGGTGAACTGGGCGTCCTAACTGGTGATCCTAGCCTAACTGGTGATCCTAGGGCGTCCTAACTGGTAGACTGGGGCGTCCTAACTGGTGATTCTAGGGCGTCCTAACTGGTAGACTGGGGCGTCCTAACTGGTGATTTACACTCATTTATTTACACTCGTTTAACCTGTCGTTCTCTCCTCAACAGGTCGAGAGGAAACGACACATCGGGAACGACATCGTCAACATCGTCTTCCTGGATGGAACTATCGATGAGATGGCGACCTTCTCCCCCTCCTTCATCAAGTCTCAGTTTACTCGTATCCTTTACTACTCTTGGTTAGGTTAGGTTAGGTTAGGTTAGGTTAGGTTAGGTTTTTATCTCTTGAGTACGATGTCTTATCCCTTGAGTACGATGTCTTTATTATCTTTATCCCCTGAGTGCGATGTCTGAGTATTTTGTCTTCCTTCCTTGAGTACTATGTCTTCTATCTCATGAGTACTCAAGATATTAAATCATTGGTACTCACAGGGTTAAGAATTCGTACTCAAGGGATTAAGTCGCCTCCATCTCATTCCTGCTGCAGTTTCATAGGCCAAAAATTTTCGCGAAGTTTCAAATGACTTTAGCGAAATTTAAAGGTTGTGTTAATTCCCATTTTTATCAGTGTGTGTGTGTGTGTGTGTGTGTGTGTTTTAGGCAATTTCCCGCAATATTGAAAATTAAAGTCAGTTTTTTTAGTGGGTTAAAATTTACGACAGTTTAATGAGAACTCCTTGTGATGTAATTAAAAAAATTCACGTGTTCTCTCTCTCTCTCTCTCTCTCTCTCTCTCTCTCTCTCTCTCTCTCTTTCTCTCTTTATTCCCTTCCTTCCCCTCCCTTTACCCCCCTTCCCCTCCCTCTTTTCCTCTTTTCCCTACTCCCTTCCCTCCCTTTCCCCCTACTCCATCCTCTCCTTCCCTACTTCCTCCCTTCTATCCCTCTTCCGCCTCTCTCCCTCTTCCCTGTAAAGCCCTTCCCATTCCTCCTCCTCACTCATTATTCTGGTACATTAATTCCAAAACCTCATGAAGGATCCTCTACACTCGCTCAAATATTAAATAATATAACCACTTGGCCATATTAACAGCGGGGAAAGTGGTACTCTTCTAAAAGCAAATTTCTTAATGGAACTCTCTGGTGCGTGATCTGTGGTGGGTAATTTATTTTATTTATTTGTTTATTTTATTTATTTTATTTGTTGTATTTTGTTTATTTTATTATGTTTATTATTTTATTTATTTTTTTATAATACTTGTAAACAGAGGGTTATAAGATTCGCCTGATGAAGTATTATAGTTGATGTATATTAATAATGTGTACAGTAAACCTCTCAAGAGATGATTAGAACTGCTTGAGTACCAGATCCTGAATACCTTGAGTACAAGATCCTGAACCCCTTAAGTAAGAGGTTTTTAACCCCTTGAGTACTAGGTTCTTAACCCCCTTGAGTACGAGGCCATTAACCTTAGAGTACTTGAACTTAAACACCCTAAGCTCAAGGCTCAAAAGACTGATAATAGAGATAAAAAAAATCATTAATAGTAGTAATAATAGTAGTAGTAGTAGTAGTAGTAGTAGTCTGGAATCCATTAAAATAGTTAACAATTCCTATCAACCTTATTGTTTACTCTGAGCTAAGTAAACACTGTAAAAAAAACACCAACTAACATTTATTTACAAATTCTCTCGAAAATTGTACTTAAGTTATCAAATCAACTTTACTTAAAGGTAAAACATTACTTAAGTCTCTCCTCATTAGTTACGTAGAATAAACTAAACTAATTTAACTAAACAATAGATATATTTATGTTAAGATTTCCTTAGACGTAAATAACAGATGTGTTCGCCCTGGTGTCTTACCGTGGCGAGGACGAAGCTTATCGCCTGCAGGTGTATTCGGAGGAGACGGTGCCGCTGTTTGGCCCTTCCCTCCCCTGTCCTCCTGTCTTCTACAACCAAGAGGAGTTTAGGGAGTTCCTTCTTGTTAAACGTAAGTGGAGTTTTTTTTGGTTTAGTTTTGTGTCGATAGGGTGTGTGTGTGTGTGTGTGTGTGTGTGTGTGTGTGTGTGTGTGTGTGGTAGATAGGTGTTATTGTCCCTGATTAATTGTGTTATATAGCACTGTACTGCCCCATGTAACTGTACCACCCAGATATTTGCCTCCTGGATGATCTAACTAACCTCTGGCCTTATTATGTACCATTTCCATTATTTTGACCGTTTTTTATAAGCTAGCGTCTATACCTTTTAAAACTACCATCTGTACCTTTAAGCTATCACCCATTTCTTTAAGGTATTAGTGTGTGTTATCCATGGGTTACAGTATGGGGTGTTATCCATGGGTTACAGTATGGGGTGTTATCCATGGGTTACAGTATGGGGTGTTATCCATGGGTACGGGTACAGTATTTTGTGCTCTTCATGGGTTAGTCACATGAACCTCCAACAGGCTGCAGTTACACACTCAGCGGGCGCCATGTTGACTCTTCCATGTGAATCAACCAATCAGAACGTTTTACGCAAATTCACCAATTAGAGCGTGGCTCGTTAGTGACGTTGCACAATAACGTCAGGTGCATTGAGCTAATCAAAGAGTTTCTTAACAATGACATCACGGGAATAGACCAATCAGAGAATATCATATGACAAAATAGTTCATTCATTTTTTTCTCGTGTCCGATTGAATGTCTCTCGTATCTAAATATAACACAGGCTGAAAAGTTATAATTTACGGCAGGTATTTTTGTTTAATTAGAATTTATTAAATGTATTTAATGTATACTTGATAAATTCTACCAGACAATATGCGATATATTTGTTTAAATATTGATTACCATACATACATACATACATACATACATACATACATACATACATACATACAAAGTGCAAAAATACACGTACATATAAAACAGAATACAAAAATACAGTATTGTATATACAGCACTAACGCATAGAGACATGTAAAGTAAAGTACAAACAAAAAACAATCACAAAACAAAAACACACACACACACACACACACACACATACACACACACACACACACACAAAACACACACACACACACACACCATCGTACCCTTCCTCACCCCCCCCATACGACCAACACTCACCCACGTCCTGTATCGTGTTAAGAAAATGAATCCAACACCGACAGTTATGGAGATGAGGCTCTACCCCGTCACCCACCTCCTGGCTTTACCATTTCACACTAACCCTTAATATGAGCCCCAGTGAGTGTGTACATATTTATTATTTGATTCACAAGACAAAAAGGTAAGGTTAATTGGGTGTGTGGGTGGGTGGGTGGGTGGGTGTCTGTGTGGATTAGTACTGTAGGTCGACGTTTACAGAAGTGAGTGGATGAAATAATCTCCGTTTTCTTTGATGTCTACTTGAAAGGGTTTTTTAATGCATTTAGAAGGAGTAACTACGATTCTTTTATCACCCAGAATCTCCTTTTGACAATTGTTTTATTTCTTTTTACCTGTGATTGCCATAAATACTTAACATAAATTTATATATGGAATTAACACCGTTTTTTTCGTTCTTGTATATAAAAGAAAAGTTAAAATAATATTGTAGAGTCGTGATGAATGTGTACTGTATATATACGCTAAATTCTCAATGTTATTTATATATTTTGGCGGGAACACGGTAGTGAGTTTGAGCTGTAAATAAACAGTTGTGTGTGTCGTTCCTTATCTCATGTGATATTTTCTACCATTTCCTGTTCTCTTACAATGTTTGGTGGCGAGATAAGGCGCAAATGTCAACAGTGGTGGTAGTTGGTCTGGTGAACGTTGTGGTGGGGGAAGGGGTGGGGGAAGGGGAGGAGGGGGAGGTATGTTTGTAAATACGTGAGTTTGTTTTATTTATGTGTGCTTCAGTATACCGACACAGGACAGGGGTGTATACTAAAACGTACATACACAAGTAGATATTCATACATACCCAGATGCACATAGACATACACACACACACAAACACCCACAAACAACAAAATATATAAAACAGTGAAAAACACACACACACACATTCACATTCACACACACACTCTCACACACACACACCACACACACACACACACACATTCACACATTCACACACACACACACACACACTCACACACACACACACACACACACACACACACACACACACACACACACACACACACACACACACACACACATTCACACATTCACACACACACACACACACTCACACACACACACACACTCACACACACACACACACACACACACACTCACATTTCATCTCTCTTCCCCCAAAAGGTAGATACTCGTATATCTTCATGTGTGTCCTATTATTACCATGAATATTCCAGTATATTTGCGTTTATCCCCCCTTCCCCTTCACCCCCCTCTGTGAGCAGAAGGGCGGGGCGGGGCGGGGCGGGGTGGGGCCAGGCTGACTTTTGAAGCGTGTCGCCAGGCTTCGTGATTGTGAGGATAAATGAATTTTGGATGTAATGTTTGAGCAAGGCTTCCGGCCCATCTTTGTGAGGCTTTTCAGACCCCAGTTGACTCAGGGGCTTGATAGCATTCAAGGGGTCTGGGATGAATCGTGCACTACACAAGTTACGAATGTGGAGTTTTATTATTTTATTTCTTTGCTAACTAGAAAAAAAACGTTTGATTATTGATGTTTTTTTTTCCACTTAATGTATGTTTCTGGGATCATTATGTACCTGTTATGTACTTGGGGTTTAGGCTTGAAGGTCACACAGTCAGGGAAAACAGTTAACAGTTGTGCTGGTGACGTGTGTTCTTGTGCGTGGCGGAGTGTTTCTTGAGCTTGTCGTGTGTGGGAGGATGGTTGGCCCTGTTAGTGGATAACACCAAACTCACTTCACACCAGGTGACTCTGTTGTTGTTTTCACACATCATGGCTCTCTGTTATCTTTCATGTGACTCATATAATTATCATCCAGTAGTTATTTTCAGTCAACATTATGTTCTTGGAGCAGGTAGTGTGAGCTCACCTGGTTGTCTTAATACCTCTGGTAAACAACTTACGATCCTAGCTGGTGTTGACTGAGAGTTTTGTTGTCAAAGTCTGTTGATCTTTGCCTTCTGTGTTGATGTTAGAGAAGGAGTTGTTAATTAATGTGTACCTCGCTCTTAGGACCTGGTGATGAAAGAGACCCCTTCTGTAGGTAACTTACGGTGATATCAAAGTTTTCGTCCTGAAGACTGTGACTCGGTCATCGCTTCTGCCTGTCTGTGAAGGTGTTCCTCCCGCCTCACAGAGAAGAGTTATCATACAGAGACATTGTGTGGAGGGTCAGAGGCTAGAGGCGCCGTAAGCGGTCTGTTCTCCTCACCACACGTGTACAAGCTGACCAGGGGTGGGTCCAGGGCGGCAACACCTTCCACCTGATAAGGAGCTTTACTTGTGGCCACTCACAGGAGCGGATTAACACAGTGTATAATATATATATATATATATATATATATATATATATATATATATATATATATATATATATATATATATATATATATATATATATATATATATATATGTGTGTGTGTGTCCGCTGTGTCCGCTGTGTCCTACAGAGAATGATAGAATAAGAGGAAGAGGAGGAAGAGAGAAACACTTTTCCGCCACTACGCCTCTGAGGAAGTCCTTGAAGCTCGCCGCCGCCAAGTTACACAAAAGTGGTAAATTTCTTCACCAGAACTGCACCCGAAGTTAGACCCAAATAAACAGTTCTTGGGGGAAAAACTTGGCAATAGTACGAAGTGAAGTGTGTGTGTGTGTGTGTGTGATTGTGTGTGTGTGTGTGTGTGTGTGTATGTGTGTGTGTATGTGTGTGGCCAGAAATTGATTACATTGTGTGGAAGATTATCTTTTCTGTCACAAGATTTGTCTCTGGAAACCAGTTCTCATTTTTTTGCCTCACACATCTCTCACGGGTGATGACAAGCAGAGGATGGTGCTCAATGTTATTTGTGGCCATAAGCCGTCTGTGGCCCGGGTTACAGTCTGGTTATGGCCCGGATTGTGGCCTGGTTAACTGGATGGTCATGTATGGGGTCAAGGCCAACATACTCAAGGTCATCTTTATCCAGCTTGAAGTACCAGACCCCCCAGATAGCGTTACGATCGTTATTAAACTGAGGTGTATAATCTTCAGGTGATCCAAACAACGTATACACTAACCTTATACAGAAATACATAAACATACACACAATCCCTCGTCAACTCAGACCTCGTAGATGATGTACAGTTGATCACAATACACTGTACATCAGAGACCAATCCCCTGTACACTAAACAACCGTTCATAAAGATAGTGTTCATACATTGTACACACCTACAAAGTTGTACCAAAAACCCGATGCCTTTTGACTCGCCAACAAACTGGAACAAAAGAAAAGAGACAAAACGAAATGAGTAAAAATAATAACAGGTTGTGTGTTGTTGTGGTCACAGGGAGGGAGGGAGGGTGATGATGACCTATTGTTTCAAGTTGCTGGCCCCTCCCTCACTCCCTCACTCACCAACGCCATCCCTCCATCCCTCACTCACCAACGCCATCCCTCCATCCCTGTGCTGTACGTCTGCCTCATCTCCCCTACTTCCATCGCCCCCTTACCTCCTTGCCCTCACATCTCGCCCCTCACCTCTCCCCCCTCACCTCCTAGCCCTCACATCTCGCCCCTCACCTCTCCCCCCTCATCACCCAGCCCTCACCTGACGTCCAAGTAGTCCCATTGATCCCTTTATTTATTTTATTTTTTGTAAACTTGTAAAAAAAAATGGTTGTAATTGTTGTTGTTGTTCAGGGGGTGGAGCACTACCCCAGCTGTGATGATTCTGGCCTCTGGGGGTCAACCTCCAGCCTGGGGGTCAACCTCCAGCCTGAACCCACCAAAAAGATCAAATAAAACTGCATATATAAATCGTTTTTCAGATGTCGGTAACACATGGAAGCGTGAATTCAACCGTACATAGAAACATTTCTTTTTATATGTTTTCAGGTTTTATCGGTGTGAGTGTACGTGGTTGTCGGTGATGTCCGTGGCGGGTGGTTGAGTGAGTCGTGTACATACCAGCAACCACGGCATAGGTTAGGGGAAGCTGGGTGTATGTGAAGAAGAGATAGGGGAAGACTGTGTGTGTGTGTGTGTTAGAGAGGGAGTGAGATAAGAAACTCTCGGGGTTAAGATGGTGACGCAGGCATAAGTTGCTGCCATCTATTGGGTGAAATATGAACCTGTTCCTCAGTGTTTGTTGTGATGCTGTGTGAGGTGTTGAGCAGTGCAGTAGTTTGCTTCTCCGAGGTTTCTTAACAGACTGTGCAGTTTATGCGGAACATTTACTGGTCTTGGCAAGTGGCTTTTGAAATATATTTTCCCGGATTTTTTATTTTTTATTTATTTTTTTGTGGGAAAGGTTAAATAAACTCCCGAAAACATTAAATTGTGTTGTGTGCGTCATCTCAGAGATCACTGGTGTCTGTGTAAATTGTATCAGTGTCACTAATACTTGTCATGTGAGGTAATAATAATAATAACAACAGGTAAATCGTGCCATAAAGAGGTAGCAACAGGTGAGAGCTTGGCACATCCATCACAGGAGAGAATAATTGGCGTAATAATAATGCATCGCCGGATTATAACCCAGAGTCAAAATATAGTTAGGCCACCGTCCTTCAAAGCCCCAAATGGCGGAGAAAATAATTGGTGTTCGATCCCATAATTCACCTGATTACGTATGCGATTGGATGCCTTCCACTAATCGATAGCTTCACCGGACAGTATTGTAGGTAGGACACGACTAAGGGGGCAAAGGGAACGGCAGCCAATGGGAAAGTACAATCACGGTAATTCTGTTTCTTGATTGGTTGTCCACACTAGGGAAGGTAACGATTGCTTAGTTTCATATGGCAGTAGAAAAAATCATCTTCAGGAACCAATGTTTTTTATTATTATTATTATTATTATTATTATTATTATTATTATTATTATTATTATTACTCAATAACACGATAAATATAGCTTAAGGAAATTGGTTTTAATTTTCTTTTTAATTGACCCTAACCTAACCTAACCTAACCACCAAGACAACCACCACCAACACCACTACTACCACCACCACCAACACCACCACCAACACCAACACCACCACCACCACCACCACTAACACTACCACCACCAACACTACCACCACCAACACCACCACCAACACCACCACCACCTACCACTACCACCACCAACACTACCACCATCATCACTACCACCACCACCACTACCACCATCATCACTACCACCATCATCACTACCATCAACCTTTCCTCTCCCAGGTTTCCTTTCCATATTTCCCGTCACTGTCCAGCCAGCCTATTGTCCCCATCTCTTTTATCCCTCCCTTCCATTACTCCTTTTTTCCTTCCCTCCTTTTTCTCCTCCTGTTCCTCTTTTTTCATTTCTCTTTTTTTTCTTTTTTTCTTCCCCCTCTCTCTCTCTCTCTCTCTTTCTGTCTTTTTCCCATTTGGATCTGTCACTCCCCGTCACCTCCTACTTGCTTCCTGTCTCCCTCCATCTCTTCCTCTGTCTCCTTATCTTTCTTCCTCCTTTTCTCTCCCATTTTCTCTCCTCTCTCATCCATCCTTTACAAATATCACACACTTAATTCTACCAGAGCGTCGTAAGTGATGTTCAGCGTCTAAATATCTCGTACCTCACAACCATCGTAAGATAAATCGTACTATTAATCGTAAGAGCCGAGTTACGAGAGATTATAAGACCATGTATTAGAACCCCTTCACAGTAAGTCGTCTGAGCGAAGGAAGTTTTTTTGTTTTGAGGGGAAATTAATTTTGTATGGTCCAATCACAATCGAGAGTTCAGTTCCCCCCTACAAGAGAAGTCGACCAATCACCACACTCCATGAAAAATCAGCTGATGGATGTAAACACGATTGTATTCTGGTGTGTGTGTGGGGGTGTTGTTGACTTGCGCTACATACGGGGGTAAAATGTGCTCATGTAATTAGCTTAGCTTAGAAAACTTCGTCATATTTCTGTTATGAGTACAGTAGACTTGAAGTCCCACTGAAGAGCTAACCTGAGTCACATACAATATAACTTGTGGTGGTTTTAATATACCTACTGCTATATAAGGTATACTGATGATATATACAGGAGCTATATTTACCAGCATAAAATTACATAAGTGTTTTAAATCTGTGATACATATGAAGTGTGGTTCTTTATAGTGTTCAAGAGACCCGCCTTATCACCTACGGAGTGCCTCGTGTATATGGCGATGATACCCGTCAAAATTACTTCACGAAACTGCTGTTAACTGAATTTCCCAAGGGTTGGAGATTACCGTACGATCCCTTAGTGAATCCGATCTGTTAGTGAATCCGATCCCTTTGTGAATCCGATCCCTTTGTGAATCCGAACCCTTTGTGAATCCGAACCCTTTGTGAATCCGATCCCTTTATTTATCCAATCCCTTACTGAATCCGACCCCTGTACGATTATTTAAATATACATTAATACAAATTTAACTTTATTTGGCCCCTGACCTCCCCAAAACATATTAAACTGTTGAACTGTTTTATTACGACAATAGATCACTTGATACACTACATAATTTACGATAACATAAACAAATACGATATTATGGATGAATTCGTGCTGTTTCCGTTGGTCGTTATAAAACACTAGTCGTGTGCATCGTGTGGTGGCTGAGTGGTCATTATACTCTGTCGAGCCTCGGTAGTTCACTGGTTCAGAGCTCTACATACCCCATTGAGGAAACAGTGAACGACTTATATCCAGAGTGAACCAAAATACTAGTAGTTGAACCCCACACACATACACATCCACACACACCCACACACCCACACACCCATCCACACACACCCCCACACACACCCATCCACACCCACCACACCCACACACACCACCCACACACACCCACCCACACACACCCACACACACACACCACGGCGGGAAGGACACAGACGACACTTATATGGAATTTTACCTTTTTTTTCCACCTGTAGGAAACAAGTCCGTCCGGAAACGTCGGTCTTAATCTTTTGTCAGAGGTCTAGAAGTTCCCAGAAGAGACCCGGAGGAGAGGAAGAGGGAGAAGATTGCAGGGGAGACTTAAGGGAGAGAGGGAGGGAGAGGGATGGGGAGAGGCAGGAGGTGAGGGGTGGTGCCGGGGAGCAGCAGGAGGAGGAGGGGACAAGGACCCACATCAATTAAAGTTCCATTCTTCGTTAGCAGGAGTTTTGTTGTACTTGGGTGGCTGGACCCAACCAGTAATTACGGCTATACTCTCCTATGTTTTACCCCATTCAGCTGTGGCCTCTGAGTGTTGGTTCCACTTACACCAGGAGGGAAGATGGAACGGGGGTATAATATTATAAATTATATCTTAATCATTTACACACGAGAGGTAGTTTGATAGAAAGTGACGTCTGAAAATTTGCCTCAAGTCCTGTGAAGTTGCGAGCTGTGTGTGTGTGTGTGTGTGTGTGTTGTGTGTGTGTGTGTGTGTGTGTGTGTGTGTGTGTGTTATATCCTCAATCAATTGATACACTAATTGGGTCACACTGTACAACTCGTCTTCATTACGGTGTTTGAACCTGTTGATAATAATCTGTCCATCTCTACACCTACTGATGTCTTTAATTAATCTCTCTTCAATCATTCAGTCGACTTGTTTCCTTTATGTATGTTTATTCACTGTTATCTACTTAAATCTTCCTTTCTTTACCGATATTTTCCTTCACTTTTAACACATATTTAAGGATACGAACCTAAAAAAAAATTATCCTTTGTGTCTCTCGTTTCATCTTCTACCTCACCTTTTTTTCTGTCCTCAGCCTTCATCATCCACTCATAAAACTCGCTCTTATAGATATTCGTTCTTATTGGCTGTTGGAGTGAGCAACTTTCCAGAAATTTTTTGGCGCCGACCCATCATTTCAGTCTGCCTTCGGCCTTCATCAGCCAATAATAAACCCTCTTCATAAAGATACCCGTTGTTATTGGCTCTTGAGAAATCCTCCCGTGAAAATAACTTGAACGTTCATCTCGTCAATTTTCTTTTCTTTTTCTCGGTGGTATTAACTTTTGGTCCCTTTGGTTGCAGTCATCAATGGAGAAAAGGCCACATTCAACACTCCTATATTTTCCCAGAAGAGAGAGAGGACCTTGGATATGCTGATCAAAGACTTATATCAGGAACACATCAACGACAACAGAGGGGTGAGTATTGACGATCTTCACTTGTTTATTAAGGAAATTCACTTGTTTATTGACGATCTTATTACTGACGATCTTCACTTGTTTATTGACGATCTTCACTTGTTTATTGACGATCTTCACTTGTTTTATTGACGATCTTCACTATGTTTATTGACGATCTTCACTTGTTTTATTGACGATCTTCACTTGTTTATTGACACTGAAACACCTTGATCTTAGACGGCGAGAAGACCACAGCCAATGTTTATAGAATCGAATAATGTTTTCATAACCCACATACACAGGAATGTTTGTTTATGGTATCTATTGAGTCTTGTTAACATTCACTTGTATTATGACAACATTTCAGATCATGTTAAATTCATTTTTAAAAGTGAGAAGATAATTATAATTGATTTAGATAATAACGATATGATACGCATAGTTATTAGTATTTGATATATTTGGTAATAAACTGATTGCGTCACTTAATTACCTTTGCAATTAAAAAAAAACATTTGGAATATTTAAAACGTCAATTATACTGTGTCCTTGAGTTTTAAATCTCTTTTATGTATATTTTTTTCAGAATAGTGACTGATTTTATTATTTCGTTACGTTAGTTCAAGTTACCCCTAAAACGCTTGACCTAAAACCTTACGTGTGGGCAGCTGAGGTCATAACGTAGAGTTTGTTTATGTTATAGGAAGATATTACCGTAGGACAATAGTATACCATTGAATATGTAACCTCACGACGTACAGTATACCCCCCTACCCTCGGGTATTATATCCTGGCTCCCCTACTGGTGTCTCTACTGAGCTCGACACCAAATTAGTTTAAAACTTCTCTCATAGACAATCTGTAGCAATTAGCTGTTAAGGGTCGTTAAGGGTTATATAACATGCAGTGCCCCTATACACACCTCGTTATATGAGAAATGATGGTACTGGGGATATGTGGTATAAGTATGGATAAATCAAACAGGAATTGATATGATTGATGTAACTAATAACATATTGAAAATGGGAATAATTACATTCATATGCATTATTAACTTAAAATTGCCATGAATAATATTGAATGAAAATTATGCAAAGAAAATGAAAAAAAAAGATGAAGAAATATGACTTAAGGTCCATCAGTGTTATAACTACTATGTCCTTTTACTCTGATCCTTGAAGCGATAATTTAATAAAGTTAGGAAGATTTGATTACCTGATGACCCCACTTGGGTTAAAGTTCGGGGATTTGGTGAAATGACTAGACAAGCACGAGGCAGAATCGGAAGCAAGCTCTGAAAAATAAGACGATGATGATAATAATAATAATAATAATAATAATAATAATAATAAACTACTATTACTGTTTTATGGCCTCCAGCCTCCCCTTAATACCTACAACTTCACCACCGTTTTATTACCTAACTATTCTGTACAAAGGTAACGACGTACCTGAGTTAGTTAAGCCACAGATCTATGCAGCATTCAGTGACTGTTGCCTCATAGTCCATGTCTTTAACTGTTGTTAGCTTAGGGGCCGATGATCTCTTTCCCCTGAGGCAGAGCAGTGCAGACCTGAGTAGAGAGAAGGACAGTCGACATCCCAACCAGACTGCAAAGTAGCTTCTGGGCTGCTGCTTCTGTTCAGATAACACCTCGGCCAGTCTTGCATGGAAGCATCTTGCACTTGGTCCCATCCCGCCAGAGGTTATGAACACCAGAGGAGTGAAGCTGCCTTGATCCACGTTCTGAATTCTCTGTGCTACGCCCTGTTCTTGTCGTTCTCGTTCCTCCTGTGTGCAGCATCGAGAGACGAGTCACGGTGACATGCGGTTCTGGGGTCGAATGTCCTGATATCAAAGAAGGCTCACTGTCCCTGCGTCCAGAATCCTCGAGCGCTGGGGCTTCGTTGGTTTTGTTGGCAGTCCTTTGATGAATTACGACTGATACTACTACTATTCCTGATATTACTTCTACTACTAATACTAATATAATAATAATAATAATAGAAATAAGGACAATGAAATGATAAATGGAGTCGGCCGTAAAAGCAGTCTTTGACCCAGGCTTCGTGGGGAGTAAGCATGAAAAAGTTTTAATAGTTCCTTCGAGGGGAAGACGGTCTTAATAAGTCCAGGGCCTCGGGGTGACACAGAGACCTGATCAGGGAACACCATATTAAAGGTGAGGGAGATAGGAAGAGGGATGTAGGGAGGATGAGGGAGAGAGAGGAGGGAGATAGGGAGAAATAGGAAGATAGGGAGGAAAAGGAAGATAGGAAGGATGGAGGAGACGGAGGAAGACAAGTCAGTAACTAATTGCAAAAGAGAGAGAGTGAATAAATAAGTAGATAAGACAGAGAAGAGTGAGTCCTCCTTGGTAGTCTCTCTCTCTCTCTCTCTCTCTCTCTCTCTCTCTCTCTCTCTCTCTCTCTCTCTCTCTTCCTCTCATCTTTCATCCTTCCTTCCCTCCCTCACCTCACCTTTCCTCCCTTCACGTACACCCTTCCCATACCTCTCTCGCCCTTCCATTCCCTCCTATACAACCCTTCCTTTCCTCCCCACCACTCACAGATAAACAACAACAACAGTTCCCCTGTATGAAGGGTCATATCCTCCCTCCCTCCCTCCCTCTCTCTCCCTGGTCAAGTGTGTGTGCGTAGGCAGGTAAATTGCCAATCAGCTGGCCCAGGATCACCTGCGGCCTCCACACACACACACACACACACACACCTCGTGGAACATGTATATTTATAGTTTCTGATGTGTATTGAGAGGTTATGATTGCTATACGTGTGTGTGTGTGTGTGTGTGTGTGTGTGTGTGTGTGTGTGTACTGTAGTTGAGTGCAGGAAAGAGAGAGAGAAAACAAACTCGCCCCCTGTAGCCCACGCCGTGTTAGTTTACCACCTCATGTCAGTGTTGTTAGTGAGTGGTGGTGAAGTTTCCATTTATAGTTAACATACCTCTACTCTCTCTCTCTCTCTCTCTCTCTCTCTCTCTCTCTCTCTCTCAATAATTCCTCTTCTGATTTCCGGGATTTTTTTTTTCATTTTTTATTGTTAAAGTTTGAAAGAAATACTGGATAACCTAAGTGTATAATTACGTATAATATGATGTTATATATACGGGTAATTATATCAATACCGCCGTAGTTAGTATAGTGAATTTTATATACATATAAGTTTTAACGTGGTTTAAAGTGTAGCTATTCCCTTAGTTCTTTGTTTTTATTTTAATCCTTGTATATCTACGTTAATCCTTGTATATCTACGTTAATCCTTATATGTCTACGTTAATCTTGTTATTTCTGCGTTAATCTCCTAATCTCTTAAGCTAATCTGTCCTTTCACTTTCCACAACATTCATAACATTCTCATTATATCAATTTTTTTTATCATTCTTCTCATTTTTTTACGCCCTTCTTAACATAGAATCTCTACATTATTATTATTTTGTTTATCCATTTCTGCGTCATTCGAATTTTCTTTGTTTCCCTCATTCGTTGTTTTGAATTTTTTGTTTTGTTTGTTTTGTTTTGTTTTGTTTCTTTGCGTGTCTCTGATTCTCGCTTGAGTGTCATTGTTTTTCGTTGGTGTTTCCGACCTGAGGTGCATCACGGGAAATTGGCTTCCTCCTCCTCCTCCTCCTCTTTCTTCTCTTTCTCCTCCTCCTGTTTCTCCTCTTCCTTTCCCTCCTCTTCCTCCTCCTCCTCCTCCTCCATCAGGCGAAAGTGGACAGTTAATTACCAAGTGAGGGTGGACAGGTGGAGGTGTTTATCTTCTTGTTCATATCTGTCCATCTCCCCTTGTTTGTTCATATCTGTTCATGTCCCCTGTTTGTTCATATCTGTCCATCTCCCCTTGTTTGTTCATATCTGTTCATGTCCCCTGTTTGTTCATATCTGTCCATCTGCCCTGTTTGTTCAGATCTGTTCACCTCCCCCTGGTTATTCACACTATATAAGGCTGCTCCTTCATGACCTTCAGTACACAACTATTGAACATTTTATCAGCTGTATTTATATTCGATCAAATGTGTAACTACTCAACCTACCGTAAAGGAACATTTTGACGTGTTTCTGTAAATTTTCGTGGCTGAGGAATGAAGCACTTGTGTGATGGTTGGGACAGCTGTGCAGGTGTTGTTGGATGAGCTGTGCAGGTGTTGCTGGATGAGCTGTGCAGGTGTTGTTGTTGTTACATCAGTTGTGCAGGTGGTGTTGTTGCATCTGTTGTGCAGGTGTTTTTGTTGTATCAGTTGTGCAGGTGTTGTTGTTGTTACATCTGTTGTGCAGGTGTTGTTGTTGTTGCATTAGTTGTGCACGTGTTGTTGTTGTTGCATCTGTTGTGCAGGTGTTGTTGTTGTTGCATCAGTTGTGCACGTGTTGTTGCACGTGTTGTTGTTGTTGTATCAGTTGTGCAGGTGTTGTTGTTGTTACATCTGTTGTGCAGGTGTTGTTGTTGTTACATCAGTTGTGCAGGTGGTGTTGTTGTTACATCTGTTGTGCAGGTGTTTTGTTGTATCAGTTGTGTGTGTTGTTGTTACATCTGTTGTGCGGTGTTGTTGTTGTTGCATTAGTTGTGCACGTGTTGTTGTTGTTGCATCAGGCAGGTGTTGTTGTTGTGCATTGTGCAGGCGTTGTTGTTTTTGTTGTATCAGTTGTGCAGGTGTTGTTGTTGTTACATCTTTTGTGCAGGTGTTGTTGTTGTGCATTAGTGCAGTGTTGTTGTTGCATCTGTTGTGCAGGTGTTGTTGTTGCATCTGTTGTGCAGGTGTTGTTGTTGCATCTGTTGTGCAGGCGTTGTTGCTGTTGTTGCATCAGTTGTGCAGGTGTTGTTGTTGCATCAGGCGGTATTTACATAGGTGCGTCTCAGGCCCTTGCTGCCTGCTCTTCTCCCTTCCGCTCCAGTGATCACTTTTATTGTGTGTCTCTGTTCCCCCATCGTGCATTTTCCCCATCGTGTATTTTCCCCAGTTTCCTTCAGTATACCATCATGGCTAACACCACCTCTTCTTCTTCGCCTCCTACAGACGATGCTGAACCGACGGGCCTTCAGTGACGTGCTTCCTGACCCTCCTAGATCCTCCAGGAGAAAGGAGGAGGCGAGACAGGTCAGTCCTACTCCTCCTCCTGTGTGTGTGTGTGTGTGTTTTAAAAATCGTCATCCACTTTGAAATTAATTACACTTCAATGTGAAATATAACTATAAACCTCCAATTCCAAACCCACATATTAAACCCTGTATAAAAAATAAAACACTCGTGTAAAGTTTGGTTTATTTAATCACAAATGACTTAATATTGACCAGCAGCTACAATTAATTTATGTAAATTTTGAGATAATTAATTAGAATCGAAATAATTTACCTTAACCAATCCGTGTAAATACTGACTTAATTAACCAGAATTAGATCATTTAAAGAATACCTGTAAATACTCACCTTTAATTAGCCAGAATTAGATCAATATTCGTTTGTTTACACCGCATGTATTTGTCTTCCGAGTTCTATTGTGAATTCTTCCTTTGGTGTTGTATCGTGTACATTGGGAGACTCGGACCAATTACAGGGATTAGTCACATTCCCGCTAACACTGGTGCAAATTAAACAGTTTCCCCGCAAAGGCGAAGTTCTCTAAGTTTGGTAATTTGACCCGTAGCGTCTAGTGGCCTGCCTTCCTTCCTAGTCCGGCCGAGCGTCTCTCTCTCCTTCCTTCCTTCTTCGCTCCAACTCTCCACAAGCGGATAAAATCGAGTAATAATAAGAAAATAGATAAAAATGAAGACATGTTTGTTTATAGAAAGAGAAGATAATTAATATGTTATATGCATATACAATAAAAAAATAATACAATAACGTATAATGTAATTGTGTTGTATTTATTTAATGTAATGCAAGTTATGTATTTAGTGTAGTAATTTAACATAGGCGGTGTTATACATAAAAAATATCATCTGATTTATACCTTTGTTTTGCGTGTATATGTCCCTAAGGTATATATATATGCGAAATATATCCTCAATGAAAAGTATCTGTATAAAATATATATCTTTCGTGAGTATCTCTGCTTCTTAAATATCCCTCTTGAGGTATATTCCTAATGGAGGGATATCTTCGTGTCAGGATATCTTTATGGATATTTTTTATGAAGAATATTCTTAATTTGGATGTATAGTGAATTTTCTCATATATTTATTTATTTTTTCCGTCTCACTGTTTTAATGGGTTAGTTCTATGGTAGGTCTAACATCACACAGGTAGAGTTCATTGACACCTGTAAAGTCCAATTTTCTTACAGGTAGAGTTATTCACACCTGTAAACTCTACCTAGCATTGCTTCAATGGATATCATTAAGATCAGTTAGTTTTTTCCCCACAAGCAAGCACACACACACACACACACACACACACACACACACACACACACACACACACACACACCAGAACTCTACTTTACTCGAGTCATTTAAGCAGAGTTTCCCGGACAGTAATTTAGTCTTCCATTATCAGTTGAGTCTTCCAATTTTGCTTAGTTGTCAAGATGTAGTGAGTGAGTGAGTGAGTGAGTGAGTGAGAGGTCCCACTACCTTCTTAACTTACCTGGTATTAACTCTACATGATCACTCCCACCTAGACATTGAATAAAGAATAGTTAGTTCATACAATACTGACTCTACTTACACTCTACTTGTTACGGGTGTAGGTAGAGTTCCAAGGCTCATTTAGACTCTATTGGCCATGCAGGTGAGTTCCAAGACCCAACTAACTCTCCTTGACTTTGCAGGTAGAGTTCGTGAGATTCGGGCAGGCGCTGAAGCTGGACACTATAGTAAAGGGTGATGCCCCAACCTCCCTCGCCACCACCGGCCTCTTCAAGCGAACGGTAGGTCCTGGAGGAGGAGGAGGAGGAGGAGGAGGAGGAGAGGAGGAGGAGGAGGAGGAGAGAAGTGGAGGAGGAGGAGGAGGCGGCGGAGGGGGGAGGGGAGAGGAGGAGGAGGAGGAGGAGGGAGGCGGAGAAGGCAGGGGAGGAGGGAGAGGCAGAAGAAGAGGAGGTGGCAGCAGAGGAGAAGGAGAGTAGGAGGAGGTGGAAGCAGAAGAGGAGGTTAATAAACTCATAGGATAAGAAAATGAAAGTGTAAGAAGAGGAAGAGGAAGGAGAAAGAGGGAGGGAGAGGAGGAGGGGGAGGAAGAGGATAATGACATTAGAAGTGAGAGATAAAGGAGAAGTAGGAAGATAATAACGAAAAGAACAATAACAGTAGTATTAGACACAGGAGGAGGAGGAGGAGGAAGGAAGAGGAGGAAGGAAGGAAGAGGAGGAAGGAAGACATTAATAGGAGGAAAACGATGAGTTATATGAATTGGGAGGAAGGAAAGGAAGAGGACATGGAGGAAAAGCGATGAGGAAATAAGAGAAATATATAAGGATAAAGGAATTGTGTATGAAGAACAAGAGAGATGGGGAAAAGAAGAGAGGGAGAGAAAGGAGAAGAGGGGGAGAGAGAAGAGAAGAATTTTTGAAAGAGGAAAAAAGGAAGTAAGAGAAATAATGAAGATTGTAAGAGGGTGTGAAGAGAAGCTTATGATCGACAGCAAGAGAGGAGAATAAAGAAAGAGGAGAAGAGAGAAAGAAAAAAGAGAAATACGAGAGAGAAAGAGAGAGAGAGAGAGAGAGATACTAAAACAAAATACACGATAAAAGCGTAATAAGTAACAATACAGAAGAATGAAACAAAACAGAGAAAAAAGTAGATCGAATTAAAACAAAAGTAGATTGAAAAAAAAGACATAAGAAATAAATGAAAGATGGATAGATAAATGAGAAGAGGAAATAGCGTAACAAAAGAGGAAAATCCACAACAGGCAATAATTATTCGCACTATTGAATCTTACAGTCGACTGAAGAAATGTAAACAGGAGGAAACTGCAAACAATACCGAGAGATTAAGCAAGAATGTGTAAACAAAAGCAGTGATTCTGTGCTCATGACCTGACGATTCACAAATGATAATAAACTTGGTGATTCACTATTGTTTGTTTGAGAATTTGGGTGATCCAGTGTTATGTTATGTTGATTTAGTGAAGCTTGTTAGAAAATTTGATACTATGTTCATATGATAGTTTGGTGATTAAACTACGAAGGACCTGGTGATTCGGTGATGCTAAGGACCTGGTGATTCAATAAAGCCTTATACCTGGTGATTGAGTGACTCCTCTTCAGGACTTGGTGATTCATTGACTCACTAAAGTCTTGAAGATTCAACTACCCTAAGAACCAACGATTCACTTAAGAACTTATGGTGATTCAGATTCACTTCTCATTTTGGTGAATCGACGAAGCTACAACGAACACGCATCACGACAGACGAAACTACTGTACAACGAACACAAGACGGCAGACAAGACGGCAAGCAAGCGATAAGAAAATAATGACCACAAAGAAATTATTCCATATACCATAATATTAATCTGTTATGAGTGTAGTACGTAAAACTGAAAGACACTTGAAGGCAGAAAAAAAAATATACATAAACATTGCTTAAGGTATCTGAAGCTTTTGGAAATTAATGATTATTGACTTATTTATAATTCAATGTTTACCAAGAAGCTAACTCAGAAGGCGTGCTTGATCTTGATAAAAAAAAAAGATGGTCTAATTACTGATTTTTTTTTTCATTACGGTGTTTTAAATTTGCATGTTGGAGGAACACACAGTTGATGGTCGTCATCACTGGAGCCTTAGAGTGTGTTTCGCGAGATTATTTCATGGTATTACATAGGGTTGTCTTAGTGAGGGTAGGGAGGCCATGTTGTCTTTGTGAGGATAGGCAGGGTACGTTACCTTACTGTTGGTATGGAGTCAGAGAGTCCGGGAGTAGAGGGTCGGGGAGTAGAGAGTCGGGGAGTAGAGGGTCGGGGAGTAGAGAGTAAGGGAGTCAGCTAGTCAAGCAGTCACCCCACCTACACCGTCTCTCGTTACCTGGACTCACTCACCGTAACGTAAAAAACAGGAACCTCTACCTTAGTGACCACTGTTGACACAACCTCTGTCCCGGGTTGACTGAAGCTCTTGCAGATGTACAAAGAGGGAGGTAGGAGGAGTGAGAGATGGTGTGTGTGTGTGTCCCTGTGTCTGTGTGTCCCTGTGTCTGTGTGTCCCTGTGTCTGTGTGTGTCTGTCTCTGTGTGTGTGTCCCTGTGTGCAAATGTGTCAGGTTGAGAGAGAGGGAGAGAGAGTGTGTGTGTGTGTGTGTGTGTGTGTGTGTGTGTGTGTGTGATGGTCGCAGGTGTGTGTATGGTAGTGTTAAGGGCACTAGTGGCTGGCAGTGTGTGTGTGTGTTATAAGTGAAGTGACTCGTATCATGTACAGAAGAGTCCTGAAGTGACGGCTCTTACTGTTTATGATCCTCTCTCCCCCTCTCCTCCTCCTCCTCATGGTGTGTGTGTGTGTGTGTGTGTGTGTTCCTCATAAAGTCTTCTACTATATCAATTCATTTAACACTCCCTACCATCAATTTAACTTAGAGTAATGTTTAAATTATTATCATTATTATTATTATTATCATTATTATTATTTATATGTTTGATTGGATACGAGAAAAGGGTCTCCTATCCCTTCCTCTCCTCTTCACTCTGTATAAAGGATGAAGATAATAACCACCACGTCCAGCACAGGAGATGTGAGAAGCGACGAATATACAGACAGATTAAACTGCTTTTGATTACACTTTAAAAAAAAAACATTAAATAAATAAAAATCTTTAATTAACTTAAATGCAGTAATTGGGGCACATTAACTATTTTGCGACACATTCCAAATCAAATTACTACGATATTGTGATGAAAACAGTCCAGGGAAATGTCACTAACTAGGAAACATTCATCCAGACAATACGTAGTGTATGTCCTTGTGGATATCTGGTTATTAATGTATTTTTTTGTGTATGCCTGTGTGAATAAATGTATGTATGTGTAGGTGTTAGTATACAAGCGTGGTGTATATATGTTAACGTATGTATGTAAATGTTATGATGTCCAGGTATATTTATTGCATGTTTTGGTATATCTATATCTGTCTACTTGAGAGATTAAGGCAATTTTTAATTTTTTTTTTCTTCAAATTTTCCAAACACCAAATTTAAGTCTAAAGGAAGTATAATTATTGATAGCTCTTGTTTGTTCTTGTTATTATTATCTAAACTTTATCATTAAACCTTATGTGCTGTTTGTTTATCAGTTATTACATTACAGTGATTTGTTATGGGTAATAGAAGAGAGTTTGTTATACCTATAGTGTAATGATGACGTCTTTTGTTGTGGGTGTAATGGTAGAGATGTATGTATACGTGTGTGTGTGTGTGTGTGTGTGTGTGTGTGGTTATTTCAAGTACTGGTGGATGTTCACTGTTTGGATGTCTTTGTTGAACTCATCAAAATGTTCATCAATGCCTTCAGTGCAATGTTCAGAATATCTCCATAAAGTATTCAGAAAATCTCCATAAAATGTTCAGAAAAGCTCCCTAAACTCTTCAGAAAAATCTCCCTATTAGAAAAATCTCCCTAAACTCCAGAAAATATCCCTAAACTCCAGAAAATATCCCCAAACTTCAGAAAAATATCCCTATCAGAAAAATCTCTAATACATTCAGAAATCCCTCACTGAAACGCTGATGATAACTTACTGTGGAATAATCCTACAACTCATAACTATATAGAGATATATACCATTTCTATAATGTTTATGATGTTGATGAACCCTACGTCACTTGAGAAATGTTGGAAATGTTAGCTCAGATGTGACATGTCTAAAGTGTTTTGCAGATGTGATATGTTTATAAAGCCTGATTTCTTTTAAATGTTTGAGTGACTTCTTCCTGTTACTTGTTCACCTGTTTAGAGACGGTAAGGAATGCTCTTTGTTTCTGGAGTGTCTTAGAATCTTGTCTGTCAACATCTGAAAAGTTTTTGGTTGTGATAGAGTGCGGTGAACTCTTCTCCTTGTAGTGTTTAGGAACCTTTGATCAAGGCTGTGTCCATGTTCTTAATAAAATGTTTAGTAACCCTGAGTGTTTCTGAAATGTTTACAGAAAATTTCATTAACAACTTTTTTTCTATGTAATGTTCCAACTTCTAAAATAGTGTTTCGAAGCATCAGGTACAGTGTTTAGTGATATTTAGAAACCCTTTTCCTGCCTCTGAGATGTATGGGACCCCCCTTTTCCCACCCCCCACCCCCATTATATATCTATGAATGTATCTTTTTCAAACATGTTTACTAACTCTTCTTTGTCATTTGTTTAGGATCCCTCTTGGTAGAATTTTTCTTCAACATGTTCGACGATCTCTACAGCACATTGTAACACAGTTGTCCTCCCGTAGTGTTCAGTCGCCTCTATAAAAAAGTGTGTCTTTCCTCCTCCCCCCCAGTTAACAGAGGGCTCAAATGGTTCCCCTTCAACCTCCACCACCGCTCTCCATGCCAGGGTATGTCATCCCCTGCCTGCTGTCTCTTGCATCTGTCTGCCTGTCTGTCTCCCTGTCAATCTAGCTGTCTCTCTGTATATTCCCGTCCCAGATGGCTCTATCGGTTCTTCCAACTCCTCCGTCGTTCTCCGCCCCAGGGTATGTCGACCCCCTGCTTGATTTCTCTTGCATCTCTCTGTTCGATCGTCCTGGTAGCTCCCTAGTTTGTCCACGTGTCTGTCTTTCTAGCCCCCCTGTCGTAAAGTATTCCAGTGGCACCCTGTCCATATCATCTGGTCTTTGTAAACAGGGTACACTGGGCCCCGTCCAGTCGTCGCTCACGTCTTTGTTTATGTAGCAATTTGTCTAGTTCTCTGAGTTGTGTCTTTGAGTGTTGTATATTAGATTTGTGTCTCGTTGTCTCGTTGTGTCTGTCTTTCTTTTCCCGGTTATATGTTTATATACCGTTTGTTAATTTGTCTATATTTTTCGAAAATTCTCAGTAGCTGTCTGTGTGCCTGTCTAATTAATTGTCCTTTTATTATTTCCCGTTTGTGTTTACGATTCGGTGTTTTTTTATTGTCTATTTCTGTCGACGGGGATAAATCTGTTTATGTTGACACATCTTTCTGTATGTTTGACAGTAAAATCTTGTTTCTGATTCATCCCTTTGTCTAGTCTGTATTTGTGTCTCAAGACAGAAAGAATATCACGCTGCTTGACTTTCATAACTTGCACTCAGGCATTTTGCATTCCAATGTCTGTGCATGATTTTGTAACTGCATGTTTTAGAGATATGTAACCTGATATCCATGTACTGTATCGTGTTTATGTTACGTTATCGTATGTATCATCGAAGTGTTTGTACCGACTCGCTTATGTTACGAAATTCCTGAGAAAAAAAAACATAGAATTGAACCAGATATATTATTTTTTTCAGCGTGATTGTCGTTTCAAAATATCAAATAGGAGGGATCCAATTCCAAGGTTGAGGGTTCAAGCTCGAAGTAGAAGAGTTTGTATTCGAATTAATAAACCAAAGATATCGAACTCCAAGTAGAGATAATCGTAGTCCATGTATTACATTTTGAACAATTTAAATGCCTTGGGAGAGACATTCACGTTCTTTAGTATCAAACTCAAAAAATAAAAAAAGAGAAATGCAAATAGAGATTAGATTTAAAGTAAATAAATTTGAACTATATGAAGGCGAGCTCATATCTTAGGTATAAGGGTTCAAACTCCCGGTAATAGGGTTTAAACTATAAGTACTGTAAACGGGAGGCAAGAGAGAGCATAGATTATGTAGGGAACTTTAGACTCGTAAGTAGTATGAGTCAAGGTCTTTATGAAAACATTTAAACCTACATAGAAAGGTTTCGAATACCATGGAGGGAAAGATCAAATGTTGTAGTACAGAAGTTAAAGTTGAAGAAGTAAGGTATAGTCCCCTTCACTAGTGGGTTTACAGGGGTCGTCAGGTTGTGTGCGGTGTGGCAGCGCTGTGTTTGGTTACACTCGACAGAAGGAAACTCGCAATAGCAAACATACTATGAAATCAAATTAAAACAATATTAAAACAAATATCTCAATGTAATGATTTGTGGAATGTTTTTATGACGAGCCTCTGTAAACGCACTAGTGAAGGGGACTGTACCAAGGCTATATGACTAGCCCCTGTAAACGCACTAGTGACTGTACCAAGGCTATAGACGAGCCCCTGTAAACGCACTAGTGAAGGGGACTGTACCAGGCTATAGACGAGCCCCTGTAAACGCACTAGTGAAGGGACTGTACCTAGGCTATATGAGAGCCTGTAAACGCACTAGTGAAGGGACTGTACCAAGGCTATATGACGAGCCGCCCGACTGTACCTGCTAGGCTATATGACTGTAGCACCCTGTGTAAACGCACTAGTGAAGGGGACTGTACCAAGGCTATATGACGAGCCCCTGTAAACGCATTAGTGAAGGGGACTGTATATCTTGCACACACTGGTTTCACCGCACGTGTAGACATGTGCACAACACACATATTCACGTCACTTGTTACCACACACACACACGCACACACAATGGCTTATGTTAAAGATGATTGACTCACTTATCACAACTTTATCGTTACGTTATCATCTCTTGACAGCTTCTCTCACACACACCTCCACACTCCCTCACTCTCACCACTACTCCCTCACTCTCACCACTACACTCTCACCACTACTCCCTCACTCTCACCACTACTCCCTCACTCTCACCACTACTCCCTCACTCTCACCACTACACTCTCACCACTACTCCCCCACCCTCATCACCCCTCCCCCCCTCTCCCCAATTGGTAATATTGCCAAGTTTAATTAACAATAATTTCCCGCCATTGGGTGCAAACCGACCGACATATTTCTGGGCATTAGCAACACATATTGTAGAAGAATCAATCACTCTCCCCGGGCTTCTGCTTTTATAGATCCATAACAGGTGTGTGTCTGTGGTGCTCGGGGTGAGGGCAGCCGTACCAGAGGGAATAAGAGAGAAATGTTGTAAATGGGGAGGAGAGACATGAAGAATAACAGTCAAGACACACGGAGAAGCTAGATGATGGTGGTTATTCACAGACGTAAAATTGAATCTTCAGAAAGAATAGCGACTGGGAGTAGACTATGATGTGATAAATTGTTTTCTAAACGATGTAGTTGATGCGTGTAAGGGAGAGAGAGACGAGTGTTAGACGGAAGGAACTGTATAGTGTAGGAAATGAAGTAGAAATAAGTCATCAAAGGAAAGTGACTCCTGAAAGCGACGCGATAGAATACTGGATCGTGTTATGGAACGCATTACGACAGGGATAAAATGCAGCAGCGGCAGTGATCGTCGGCGGCCCCCTCTCCCTTGACTCAGCCTCAGGTCCCAACAATAGAGCTATTCTCTGGCAAACGGACCGTCTTACAAGTCACTTACGAGTCATAAAGCAAACTAATCGGAGTAATATCACCCTTTGCAACGTAGCCTCGACCATCGGCCGTGCGGAAGATAAGAACTAAATGACACGTGAACTAACTTTTCATGGAATTTGTTGCACGCAAAACCAACGAGTAATCGATGGTAGGTTTTAATGACTCGTGAAATAACTTTTTTATGAAAATTTAGGGGGAGAGAAAAATTTACATTACATCACAGGGAAGAGGAAATAAATATAAGGGGGGAAAACTCGGAGGAAAATATAGATAGAAGAGGAAAGAATGTTTGTCAGAGATACACAAATTAACTAAGAAATAAGAAGAGGAAGGAAAAATTAACCAAGATACACCTTAAGTGTCTCAGTGGTGGGAGAGATGAGCTTCGGTCAGTAACTCAGAAGAAAAATAAGACGAGAGGAAAGATTCTCAATTATTTAACAACTTGAAAGATTTTGACTTTGCAAATTTATTATCGAAAAGCAAAATATATCATTGATAAGAATAAATGCTCTCTCTCTCTTCTCTCTCTCCTCTCTCTCTCTCTCTCTCTCTCTCTCTCTCTCTCTCTCTCGAGCTTCCAATAAAATCTTTGTATAAATTCTCCAGCCCCGTTAGCTGCTCAGTGTAGAATATTTACGCCCTCATCCTGTCACTAATATGCAAATAAATGCGCATTTCTTAATCTTGTACACTTTTTTCTTGAGAGTTGAACCACCAAAATTAAAAATGTGCGTCGGGAATATTTAAATTTAATGAACTTGGCGAGAAGGCGGGCAGACGGGTTTTTTCTATCATTAATATTTATCTTTTTTTTTTTTTTTAGTAAACAAGAGGAAAATTTGATGAACATGTACTAAAAAATTTGCAAATTAATTGATATTGTTTATTTAAGCGTACGAGAGTTTTACAGCAGATGAATGGCAACGTGGTGATTGATAGTGGCAATGGGTTTATGCCACACTGCCAGACGTACATTAAGTTATATATTTTTATCTAGGACTTAAAACTTGGAACGAAATCTTACAAATGATTATCGTAATCTTATAAATAGATAGAGAATAGACAATAATTACATAGTATCAATATTTGTTTTTTTTTAAAGTAAGACCCTTGGTAGTTCTACTTAGTTTTAGTAGTTTTATTTACCTGTTAATGACTAGCTTTTTAGAATTACACCTGTTTCAGTATATATTGTTATAATACCATCACCATCTACCTCACCCCCCCCCCTCTCCTACAGATCCTTACCTACCTCTCTCTCTCTCTCTCTCTCTCTCATAATTTCCCCCTTACCTTATTCTTTGTCTAACCCAACCTAACCTAACCTTACCAACCCAAACTATTCCTCTTTCTTCCTCTATCCATTACCCACCCTATCTCCCCATCCATTACCCACCCTATCTCCCTCTATCCATTACCCACCCTATCTCCCTATCCATTACCCACCCTATCTCCCCAAGCACAGTGTACTAATGTCTGTCTCTCCGCCGTACAGCCATGGGAACCTCAGTGTTGTTACCCCGACTTTCCCTACGAGGTGGTGTGTGGAGACTCGTGGGGGGAGAACCGCCTTCTACTGGCTACTACCGAGGGAGTCTTCTTGGTCGAGGGTGAGTAACTAAACCTTATACTTGAGAGTCTTATGAGGTATGAGTCGAGTTTTAGTTTTTTTTCTCTTAAATGGTGTTGGGGGTTTAAGGTCCTACTCGGGTTTTGTTTGGGTTTAATTGTCCCTCTCAAGTGTTGCTGGGTTTAATGTGCCACTTAAGTGTTTAAGTTACCACTCAAGTGTTACTTAGGAGAGAAATATCCCAGAGGTTCAAGTGATGATAGCTACAAGATTTAATGGACAGACACAGAGTCAACCAGACAGGAAATTTAAGTAGACAGACAAAACATAAAGAGACGGTGGATAAATGACAATATAAACAGAAAAACAGACAGAAGAGACAAACACGTAGAAAGTGACAGTCAGATACATAAAGAGACAGACCAAAACAGATAAACAAACTAGTAAAAGCTAAGAGACAGAGAGAGACAGACAGACAGACAGACAGACAATAAAAAACGTGAGGGTGACAGACAAGTTCCAGCACCGCGTTTTCCTGCCATATTTTCCGTTATGCAAATCAGGAGCGTCGGAAAAGTGGCGCGGGTGGTGATGACAGGTAAATCAGAGGCCCTCCATCCCACAGCCTACCCCAAAGGTCTTAAAATCCCACAAACTTTTCCTGTATTGATCTGCTGTAATCTGATCAGCTAAAGGTCATTCCGTTAGCTGTTTTGAGGATTGGTGAGCATTGCGTCATCGCCTCTCCTGTTCGTGTCAGATATTTTCTAGTTTTGTTTTCTTTGTTTTTCTTTCTTCTATAATTCTGTAATGTTGAGACCATGAGAGGATTTGAGATTATAGATGGGTTTTTTTTAATATTTAAATCATGTAATTTAAGTCTGTGGTTATAAAAGGGTTTTGATGTATTAAAATTGCAATCAATTTATGTGTGAAAGATTTTATGCTCGTATCCTTCCACCTTGTTTTTTCAGTCTTCCCACACACACACACACACACACACACACACACACACACACGCGCGCGCGAAAGGAATTTTTGTTGAGGCAATCCACTTGTTTATAAGAAAAATAATATATACAATCCATTTTTTTTTACGAATTTTTGTGGACACTTTCTTGAGACTTTAACACGAGAAAAAAAAATCTTAAAAATCACAAAAAAATCTAACTATGGTGCTGCCCCCCCCTCAAAAAAAAACTCGCTGTGTTTTACCAAGGCCCCGTGAATGATGCCAAAGAAGAAATTCGCCACAACAGTAAACTTCGCTAATGGTCACGACAGTGTGAAAGTTGCGACAATAGGCGGCTAAGAGGAGACATGATGAGAAAAAAAGTGAGAGTTAAGACCCAGAGTCTTTGCCAGGATAAGACCTCTGAACCTAACGAAGGAGGCAGGTGGGGGAGGGTAGGAAGGTGAGGGAGGTGGGGGAGGTAGGAGGATGGGATTGAGGGAGAGAAGCGGTGGAAAGGAGAGACCAGATGACGCCTCGCCTCTCCACATCTTTACCTCTCCATTCATCTGTCCTTTCTTTCCTTCTTTCTCCTCTTCCTTACGCTCCTCCTTCCCTACCTCCCTCTCTCCCTCCCTCCACAAGGCTCTGTTCTTTTCCATTACTTTTCTGTTCCTCTCCTGTCCTCTCCCACATTGCCTCTTCTCTCTTCCGTCCCGGTTGAATTAACTAGACCTTGGTGCTGGACGATGTCATAAGATACTTACCCTCTGTTCTCCTTGTCTTCCTATCATCATTCTCTTCCTCTACCTCCCTTTCTCCTCTTCTCTCTGTTCACCTTCTCTCCCTGTCGTCTCTCTCTGCCCTCCTTCTCCCTTTCTCCTCTTCTCTCTGTTCACCTTCTCTCCCTGTCGTCTCTCTCTTCCTCTACCTTCTGCCCGCCTCCCCCCTTTCTCCTCTTCTCTCTGTTCTCCTCTCCCTCTCTTCTCTTGCATGTTAGATCCTTGCCCGTCAAAACCTAAAAGGCGACTTTATTCGTAGGAAGCGTTCTGATGTATAACGTAAAACCCACTAAAGAGAACAGCTTAGCATTCGTCCCCTCAGCCTTCGAACTTAAGTAAAATCCACCTTGAATTTTTTTTTGTTCATCCTTACTCCACACATCTGATTGTTTTGATTGTGGTAATGTATATAATTTTTTATTGTGGTAATGAATATAACTGTGAACGCTTTCCTTACGTCAGTTATAGCAGTGGGAATATCAAATCGAAGATAAATTAATTTTTTGATAGTTTTGATATAATTAAAGTGTAGTTATTCTAAGTAGTGTTTAGGTTGTTTAGATAACTGGGGGAATATTTTACCATATGAATAAGACAATTAATGTTATTTAAGAACTTTAATTCTCTTTTTTCTTTACTCTTGGAAATGCTACATGATTCATTGCTGGTTTTTTTTTGGCCACCTTATGTGTGACGTGACTACTTACACAGTCTACGAGATGTTAGGAGGATATCTCTCTCTCTCTCTCTCTCTCTCTCTCTCTCTCTCTCTCTCATCTTTGCTGCTATAGTTTTATGCCAGTCTTCGGAGTCTCTTGAATTTTTTACTCCCATTTGCCTTTGAGGATCTTACGTTCCACTGAGGCCAGCTGGGGAGAAGAATTGTAAAGGAGAGAAGATGGAGGAGAGATAAGAGAAGATGATAGGCAAAGGGCACAAGGGAGAGAAGGTATAAACAAAGGAAAAGGAAGTTGGACAAAAAAAATGACACAGTGTATAGGGGAGGTCAGGAGGTTGAGGAAAGAGGAAGAAAGGAATGGAGATAAATGAAAGGAAGAAGGAAAGAGACAGAGCTATAAGATACGATATATGGTGGAGGTAAAGGGAGAGAGGAGCGTGGAGGAAGAGAATGTGGAATAGGGAGGTAGACAACTATATTGGAAGAGAGAGAGAGAGAGAGAGAGAGAGAGAGAGAGAGAGAGAGAGAGTTTTAAAGATAGAAAGCTGATGTGTGGTAGGGAGGTGCGGGTAGTGTAGTGAATGATCATATACTGTCCCCTGTCCACATTATATGTGTGTGTGTGTGTGTGTGTGTGTGTGTGTGTGTGTGTGTTTGAGTGAGTATATGTTGTAATCCACCATAGAAAACGGTATCTATGGCTGTTGTTCTCTAGTGGTTTCTGGTATTAATGTATTGCTCTCCCCATTCTTACTGAGCCTTATCTAATATCTCCCAAAACTTATCGTTCTATCTCACTACTTCTCTCTTCTTCTCTTCCATCCTCTGCTTATTTTATTTTTTATTATTTTTCTTTTTTGCTTCATTTTCTTTTTCGCAATTTTTTTTTCTTTTTATTTTAATTTTAATCGTTTATTTTTATTTATCCTTGTTTTTATTTCCAGTTATCTCCCCACTAACTACCTACAGTGTTCTCTCCCCACTAATTGGTTCTCTCTCCAACAGAGGGCGTGGCTCACCGTCTCGTGTTCGACAAGAGTGTACAAGTGAAACAACTGAGTGTGGTAGAGGCGCACGGAATCCTCCTCTTGAGAGCTGATAAAGGTATTCGATGCTATTTATATACGATCCTTCTTATAATATTCGATCCTATTTACAATATTCGACCCTATTTATAGTATTCGACCCTATTTATATAAGTACTGAATTGAATTACATAGTTCTGCTCCCAACTCATTTATCTTCAATCTTCGGGAGACATCTGGACAGGCACTGGGTAGTAGAATAATAAATAAGTAAATAAAATAAATAAAAAAAATAAATAAATAAAATCCTGGAAAACAATTGTCATGAAATAAGATTAGAAAAATGAAGAGAGGAAATAAAACTCACAAGAGCAATATATGACCTTTGCTTCCTAGGGGGAAAATCATCCATTCTTGAATACGAATATTTTTGTCTCTATTCCACTTATTTTCACTCAATATTTTTCTTACTCTCATTTACTATCGTATCTTCGTCCTCCTCACTACACCATCATAGGCTCGCATCTGGTTGTACACAGTCAGAGCTCCACCTCTCGACTGCTGGGGTGGCTGTCAGTGCATCGCCTTTATATGCACCGAAAACCCCAACTGAGCGCGGTGAACAAATGCACTCTTGTTTTTGTCGAGATTTTACCAATGAAAGTTCCGGATTTTCCCGCGAACGATTGGATTTTTCACTGGATTGGAATGATTGGTGATGGGGATTTATTTTTACATGGATTTATTGATTGTTTGCTCCATTGGCTGGTATTTTATTATGATGGGATAGGGATTTTTGTTTTCGTAGGTTGAGTAGCTTCCAGTGTTGTGGTAAGGATTGGAGTGCTTGATGGCGAGAATAGAAAAGATATTTTACAGAAATTTTTGCAATAAATGAAATAAGTTGTTCTTAATGAATAAATTAGGGATTAATGATTGGAATATTCTCTTAAACTAGGATATATTCAGTGATATTGTGATTAGATTTAACATTCATACATATAAACAACATCCCAATTTTACTGTAAAAGACACAAAATAAAAATATTCAAGAAAGATGGCGACAAGAACACAATAAAATCAATGTATAAATCGATAAAACACATTTGTTATGGGTGATATATATTTTTACCATAATTCAATGTTCTGTCGCTGTGTCTATCGGTCTTTTTCTTCACACTATAAAAAAAATTTCTCTTCGTGTAACTTAAAAAAAAAACCTTGACAGCTTTTCTCCACTCTTATACAAATTTTTGGTATCCTGTTTATAAGTTCAAAACCCTCTTGACTTGACGGCATCCAGTCATAAACAGACACTTGGTGCGGGAGCTCACGTACAGGTGTGTAAACAAGATGTTAAACTCCTGATGGTGCAGCTCCTGACGATGACGACGACGATGGTGGAACTTTTATCAAACTTTCTCTCACCCACAATTTACTTTCTAGGGTCCTTTTGTGTGTGTGTGTGTGTGTGTGTGTGTGTGTTGCTTTATATTTCGTTCTTTCTTTCTTTTGTTATATTTCTTTCTTACCAGCAATCACACATACTAATCCCCCAATCCCCCCTCCTCTTATTCTCCTCCCAGTCCTCCTCTTATTCTCCTCCGAATCCCTCTTCCTCCCACCCTAAATCCCTCTTCCTCCCACCCAACACCCTAAATCCCTCTTCCTCCCACCCCAACACCCCAATCCCCCTTCCTATCTCTCACACTTCTCCCCAAATGCAACACCTCTTCTCTTCTCCCCCACTGCAACACCTCTTCTCTTCTCCCCCACTGCAACACCTCTTCTCTTCTCCCCAGCTGGTCGTGACGGAAAGATCCACGTGTTCCGCCTCTCAGACTTCGAGGGGGACGAGGAGCGGGTCAAAACCAAGGCGGACCTCAAGGACCACCGACTAGAGAGGACCAAAGGATGCCATCTGTACGCCATCTCCAGGCCCGGCGGCTCACACCTCAGGATGGTATGTATCCTTTGGGAGTCCTTTTGAGGAGGTGTTGGGAGTTCTTTCGGGGAGGTGTTGGAAGGTAGTGAGGTGTTGGGAGTCCTTTTGGATGTTTTGAGAGTCCTTTGGAGGTGTTGGGAGTCCTTTTAGAGGTATTGGGAGTCCCTTTTCTTTGGAGTCCTTTTGGAGGTATTTGGTTGGAAGTCATCTTGGGAGGGTTATGAGCATCCATTTGAAGGGGTCATGTGAATTCTTTTGATTGGGATACGAGTTCTTTTTGGAGGGCTCACGAGTCAATAATTATAGAGATAAATCATTTAACCCAAGCAACCACAACTAGTCCCATTTACCTAAAGTTTTCTCAGTTCTATGAAAAAATACTTCTGTGATAAAAACGAAAGTCTTATAAAAATATGGAATCAAGTAAACCACTTTGATAGATTTGCTAATGAATAATAATTAACACTCATAAACAAATGTAACCCACCGAGTCTTGTAAGTGATCAGTGGATATGACTGTGTGTGTGTGTGTGTTGTTGCAGGTGGTGGCAGTGGGGAAGAAGTTGCTGGTACTACAGTGGCGGCACTCAGCTGCATGGACTGCCTGGTGTCCTGCTTCCGACACTGATACCGTCGATGGATTCCAGTTTATCAGGGTGAGTGCCAGTGTCAAGGGTGAGGATTAATGTCAGTTTCAAGGGTGAGGATTTGTGCCAGTGTCAAGGGTCAGGAATAGTGCCAATGCCAGAACCAGGGTGGGTTTTTATGTATTTCGATTATTCTTATTTGAGAAAACTAATGATGTTACTGCAGCTTAAAGAGTGCTCCCTGTGTGTCCCATTGAATGTGACCTAATGAGTGTCCCAAATTGTTCCTTTATCAATGACTACTACATCACTAACTCTGCTTGTTGTGATGCAGGAAGTGTCTGTATCTGAGGCACCCATCATCATCACCCTCGTTGACTCACCACTTGTTTCATCTGCTGGTGGACTCAACGACAACAAGATCTGTATAGGTGCGTCTCTCTCTCTCTCTCTCTCTCTCACACAACATTCCTCCTTCCTTCCTCTCTCCCTCCTGCCCTTTATCTCAAAATATATTCCCCTTACACTTACTTTAATGTTTTTTTTTTAACATTTACAAGTCAGCTCCTATCACCATCGAACACCGTAAATTATTCTCAGATAATGAATTACAATTTAATGTCCCTTGGGAGGTTGAGAATACAGAACTCCATCAACTGAATCATATTTTACTGTAACCTGGTTCACTTACACACAATACTGTAACCCTGAATCATACAACTTAAACACACTTTACTGTAACTTGGATCATTCGGCTCTAATACACCGTACTGTAACCTGGATCATTTTTTATATCTTTAGAATTAGAAGACTTGCCACTTCAGGGACTTTATTACCGGGTTCTTATGCACCCTAAAATTTACATAATTTTGAGATGAATTTTAGTATCAGTCTAATGATTGGCCTCAATATATTACTGATATGGCCCTAAAGTGCCCAGATTTGCATTTTAAACCACCTTAAGTGACTTGAGTTGACATCAAAGCAACTCATATTAGCCTCAGTTGACCCTTGAGCATCATAAGTGACCTGAGTCTACTCCCAGTAACCACAAATGGCACGGCTCAAATTACTTGCCCAGAGAAAATATATTAATATTTTATACACTTGATTTTTTTTTTTTCATTTTACTTTATCTATGCTGTACATATTGCCTTTTAAAACGTGCATTTCCATTCTCAGTCTTTTCCTTTACAAAATTTATTGGAAAGTTTCATTGTTCGAGGAAGTTACTGCACATATTTTCCTTATTAGTAGATAGATAGACAGACACAGAGACAAATATTCAGTAAAATCGTCATACAAGTTCTTTACATTGATTCATTTTGTACAATATATAAACAATGCAGGTATACAATGCAGCATATATAAAGACAGAGTAGGTATACAACATACATAGACTTTGCAAGTATATATGCTATGTACCTAGACAGTGCAGGTACACAGACAATGGTAAACAGTGAGTCATTTCAACCAACATAGCCATCACATGTGTATTTAAAGCAGTGAATTTTTCCCTGGATTAAAAATGAACCAACTTCTAAATCACAATATCAATAGGAATAATAATGTAAAACATGTATATGTCTTGCACACTCACCTGCTTGTCTTGCGATGAAATTACCTTAAAATGATTATACTCGATGCAAGATCTGGTCATCTGGATGTGAGGTGGCTAGACTTGGTGTGTTGAGAAATGACATGATTGAAATCTACTTTACCTGAAACTACCCTTACAGAGGAGACGTATTTGACATGACAGGAACTAGAGATGATTAGGTAATTAATTTTCCCTTACCTAGAATATAGTCAGTTAAACATGTTATAGTTAGTTAATATCTAATCGACCAAGTGACAACATGAGAACTAATATGACCAATGACCGAGCAGACTTAAACGACCTTTTGTCTTGGTAATAGTGACCTGAGTCCAGAGGGTCGTATAACTAAACCTTACCTCGTCAGGCTACAAGCACCAGTGGGACCTGGTGAGTGAGAGAACAGGCGAGGTCACCAGGCTACACCATATCGAGGCCTCAAAGGTCAACCTCGTTGCTGCTCTCGACATCTACGAGGACGACGAGGCTGAGCTGCTCCTCTGCCACAACAGTGAGTAGATGATGCTTGTCCTTGAAAAGTAAATAGTCAGAAGAACTTTGGTCATCCTCGAGGTATTGATTGTCCTTGATTCTGTTCAACCTTTACGCAGAGGTTGAGACTGACGCTTTTGAGTTGATAATGTTGGTTATGTCTAATGCGTCACTCAGCGGCTTATGTCTCCTCACTGAATATTTCCTTCAAATTACAGCATATGTTTACATGAAGAATGTATTACCATTATCCCTGGCTGGAATACATACTGGATATAGTTAGATAGATAGATTGACAGGTAGACAGAATAAAAATATTCACGCTTTGACCTTTCATTTGGAGCATTTCACAATACAGTATTATCTGTATCTCGCTTCTGTTTGGTGTTCACTCGCATAAAATAAAGTTCACAGACTTCAATGTCCCTGAGCTATGCATTGACTCATCAACCTCTCTAGTTAATATTATTTAAGTGAAATAATTTAAATGTTGCATATCACATAAGCTGTTAGGGAATGTGTGTTTTGTTTATTACCCACAAGCTATTTTTGAGTCACTTTTCTTTTTCAGTTCCTTTTTTAAATCATTGTCTTTCGGTTTTCATGTCATTTGCTCCAACCTCATGACTGCTGATGCTTATATTAGAAATTAGCTTAGTTCCTCCTTCTCTATGATTTTGAGTTACTGTTTTCTTTGGTCAGATTATACTGTACAGGTATCAATTCCTTGTTTTCTCTTACAGATACCTGTCACTTCCAGAAGTTGACAGAGGAATGCTCTAATGAGTTTGACTTTCAGTGGAACTCAGTACCCGAAGCGATTGGTGAGTGACCTATCAATCTTAGAAGTATGAACTGTGCAATGAAAATGGTAGTAGTGGTGTGCTGATAATGATGATGATGATGATGATGATGATGGTGATGATGATGATGAATAGATAGGTAGATGTTTAATTCACAAAAGTTGTCATACAAATTTAGGTTATCATCAAGCTGGGGAGATGATCTTCAGTTGATCCTCACTATAACATTATAATTAGTTACTGTTTCTCTACCCCTACAGTGTGTGCCTTCCCCTACATCCTCGCCTTCACTCAGGATAGTATAGAGATTCGACTCATCATCAACGGTAACTTAGTACAGACTATGGTGATGCCTCGCCTGGCCTTCATCACCTCCAAGGTACTGAGAGAATGTGAGAGAGGGGGGGGATCAGAGAGAGTGTGAGGGGGAGCAGAGAGAGTGTGAGGGGAGCAGAGAGAGTGGGGGAGCAGAGAGCAGAGAGAGTGTGAGGGGGAGAGAGAGAGTGTGAGGGGAGCAGAGAGAGTGTGAGGGGAGCAGAGAGGAGGGGAGCAGAGAGAGGGGGAGCAGAGAGAGGGGGGAGCAGAGAGAGTGGGGGAGAGAGAGTGGGAGGGGAAGCAGAGAGAGGGGAGGGGAAGCAGAGAGGGAGGGGAAGCAGAGAGAGGGGAGGGGGAGCAGAGAGAGGGGAGGGGAGCAGAGAGGGGAGGGAAGCAGAGAGTGGGAGGGGACAGAGAGCAGAGAGAGAGTGGGAGGGGGGAGCAGAGAGAGTGGGAGGGGGAGCAGAGAGTGGGAGGGGGAGCAGAGAGAGCAGAGAGAGTGGGAGGGGGAGCAGAGAGAGTGTGAGGAGGAGCAGAGAGAGTGGGAGGGAGAGCTGGGAGGGTAGTTGTGAGAGTAGAAGGGCTGGGAGAGCAGAGTGGGAGCAACTGGGGGAGTAAGGTGGGAGGGATAGTTGGGACAGGGGGAGGAGGAGGAGCTCAGAAAATGGGAGGGAGATTTGTGGGAGAATAAATGGAAAAGTTGAGAGAGCAGCTGGGAGAGTAGGGTGAGAAGGTAGTTGGGAGAATAGGAGGGGGTGAGAGGATGGGATGGAAGGGAATTTGGAGGTTGGGATGGGAGATTGGAAGGATGGAGGGAGAATAGGTTGAATGGAGAGGAGTCAGCTGGGTGACTGCCCGGCTGATCTGTGTCGAGTCGCCCAGAGGATGGTTTGAGTGTGGATGAAGCTATTTTTGTACATGTTGTAGTATTTTATGATCTGTGATGTATCAACTTTATTGTTTACCATAGCAATTTTTTCTCATTTTTTATGGGAATAAGAGAGAGAGAAGCAAGATAGAAAGAACACACTAAGAACAAGAAAGAGAAAGAGAGAACAGGGAAAAATTAGGAAAACTTTCATTTTATTTTATACTTTTCCCTTCATGTGTCATCATTTTCCAGAGTGACATCTTCTTCGCCACCACCGCGCCGGAGTTCTTTACCCTCAAGAGAGAGCGAGTGAGAGTAGATAGGATGGAGAGAGACCCCAGCCTCTCACCACCTCCCTCACCACATGGAAAGGAGTGTACAGGTGAGAGGTGGTTCTATTTTTTAGTTATATATGAATGTATACAGGTAAGTGAGTTTTCAGGTGAGGCATGTACTAAGATATGGAGTTCTCGGGTACGGTGTTCAGTGGTGTGGGACTCTGAGGGAAGGAGTTCACTGGTAAGGTATAAATGAGGGAGAGGGATTACCGTTAAGAGAGAAAATTGTAAATTTCTGCGTCATAATAAAACAAAAAAAATGCACATTAATTGACAGCACAGTTGTCAGTGTTGTGAATAATTGCAAACGTTCCATGTTTGATTAAAAGGAAAACACATTCTCAGAGGCAATTGTCCTCTTGCACATGGAAATAAAGAAAGAAAGGAGCATGTACGTACACACACACACACAGTGATTACTCAGCCATGTCTGGTATATTTAGGTTAATACTGTAACCTTAATGTAAGACTCAGGTTCCTCCACAGTAATGGACAGGGACGGTGTCAAGCCCTTCAGAGTCTACAGGATTCCCTTCAGGTGTCTGACGGGCACCAGCACCTGTGAGCGTCGGTGTCCCACGCCCTCCACGCCCCTCCACCCACCGGTGTTGGGGGCCAGCGAGGGGTGCGTGGTCAGCGGGGTAGTGGGCAGCGATGGTAATGGAGGCCGCGCTGGCATGCATCTCCGAGTGTCGGATCAGCGGTATGGCAGCCGGTCCTGCACGGCATCCCCGACCCACCACCCATCGCCCACGGGACCCTTCCAAGGGAGCACCCCATCCCCAGGGTCCTCACCCCCTGTAGGGATCCCCCAAGGGTCCCCTTCTCATCATCCCATTTATCAGAAGCCTAGGGATCGAACCAACTCCTTAACAGTAGACTCTGCAAGCAGTCTTCTGCTCCACCATGGGCGCCCACTTCACCTGCACCACCACCATCACCATCAGCACCATCAGCACCACCACCCGCCTGTCAAGTGAAAGTTCCACTGGCCAAGTCTCCATCAATGCTAGTGACCATCCCTCACTGTGTCTTCACAGGGACACCGCCATCTGGTTTGGGACCATTGCCACTGATACTGTCTTGAAGACTTAAACAAGTCCCTTTTTTGTGCCCTCCCACCTTCACAGTCCACTGTCCCTTTGTGGCCTCAATAACATTTAAACCTTGCTATCCTTTTTAGTTACTCACTACCATCAGCAGCCCACTAACCCTTTTCTACCAGCTATCACATTAATGCCCACTATCACTACCCACAGTGATCCTATTGTTCCATCTGTGGTTCACTGTTCTACGCTCGTCAGAGCTGTAGGTGACCTACAACATCACCTCTCGCATCATTTGTGGTGATCTACAAAACCAAGCCATCCCATTGATGCTCTTCCCTTTATAATATCATCTTCTATTGCCATCTTTCATCACCTTTATTACTGTTACCTCTGAAAGCCATCATCATTATTGCTGTTCACCAATGATATTTCCATCGTCAGGACTACAGTACAGTATCTACATTATCTATCACCACTCTCTTCACCTTCACCATCTAGTATGTCATCAGAGTTCATAATGCCTCAATAACTCATTCTATCAACATTACTTCATTATCTGTAAGTATATCCATCAGCTCATTTAGCTGTGTGTTATCAATATACCATTAAGTTAATCCTCTAGTATCATAACTATCCAAGTGTTGGCATAACTTATAACTTACAAAAGTACATTTTTAAAGTATTGGTGGTGGAAAAGACATAAAGAAGCCTACAGGTAAACTATTCTGTGTTGAAGAATGTACTTAGAAATTCACCGATATTAACAACTACACTTACAAACAATGACACACACACAGTTTGCACTCGTAGACATTTGATATACTGTATATTGTATAGGACATCAATCTGTAAAATAGATGGATTTTTCTCATTTTCTTCTCTTTGAATGTACACATTTCATCTCTTGAATAATACAGCATCCTCTGCCTTCAGGAGTGTGCCTATGCATCGTCCCACCAGTATTATTTTAATATACATCATCATGTGCTTTGAACAGTGAAATTAGTTCTTATTACCTGTGTAGTTTTCTACTTGCTTCCTCTTTTCCCTTCCTCTGCCACATTCCCCACCATCACTGGCAAGGTCCCCTGCTCTAAGACCCCTCACCTGAGAGTCTTTAACAGGATTTCTGAGTCTTCTAGCTAATGTAACCTCATCAGACATTATAGAATCTATAGCTGTATGAAATTCAATATGGTTATACGAATCCACATCGGCTTATTTTTCAAATTTGTTTGTGCTTTTCCCTCGACTCGTATAATAATATCCCAGTGTATAGATTTATTCCAATTTTCTATGAAGTATAGTTTTCTACTCTATATTCTTCCACACCAAAATTTCCTCCCTTGCATATCATCCTAGCAACTCCTAAATTTACTTTCCTCAAGAAGATTTTACACTTCCTGTCTCTACACATATCTTACTCTCCAGTGTAACTCACCACCTACATTTATCACATCACCTGCCAGGGGCCTCACTATATCTAGGGTCCTCCACCTACAGAACCTCATACCACCTGAAAAGTATCCTACCACCAAAAAGTCACCTTGAACTCTCTCTCTTCCCATTGAAGCTTGTAATGTTTGCTGAAGAATTGAGTGAGAAGTCTCGTCTTCACACTTTTATAGATTATTTAGTGTTACACAGATGCTACAACTGCCTGCATCTAATGTTAAATAAAAACTTACACACACAAACACAAAACAAATTTACTTTCATTTACAAACAATAGAATAGTTTACACTCAGAAGTACCAATACATAAACAAGTAAATCTTTCTACAAATAAGGGAAGACAAACATTTATAAGGGTTAAACATTTTTCAACTATGCAAGATGAGTAAGATACAGGTATTCTGAATTAATTTTGTAATCTTCGACAGCACCTTCTCATAAATTAAAATCTAATATCTTCTAACCGAGACTTCTATACTTGTTCTATACTATACTGTATTTTGTTGGTTAATGTACAAACTAGTGGTTGAAAAACAATAAATAATATATGCAGTATATACGGTAGTTACTCTGTTACAGACAACAACAAAAATGGTTAAAGAAACTCGGAAAATTTAAAATAATTTATATAACTAATGTTTATGTCATTAATACTTTCTCTCTAGTTTCTGCAAATTATAACAATTCTTTTTCATCCTGACACATTATTAAGTATGCTTTTAATACCTCATACCATAAAACATTTTTAATTGAAAGCATAAGATTGTTTTCCTTTAACCAAATACGATACAATGTGTTAACACTACAAGTGTCTCATGTAGCTCCTCTTTAAATCATTCATTTTTATTCCCCTTAGTTACACCTTACTTTCTAATTTTTACAAAACTCCATTCTAAGACAACACATTTTCTAGTTACTCTTCATCTACTTTAACAATTATTCACTTTTCTACTCCTCTGCAGTCCTGTTTTATCTCCCTAACTACTGTTATAGTTACGAACCATCATTTTCAAAAATTCTAACCTTTGGCCAACCATACAAAGTGGTTATTAATCTCCTCCACTTCTCTTCCTCTCAATCTCCCACTACAGATATCCATCAGTTCACAGTGATCCCTTTCCTAACCATCATAAATTATTTGCCGGCATGGCCAGAGAGAAAACTATTGCCAAAATATGTGCAGTAGATTGATTCTAGATCTTCGTTTCTCAATAGCGCACCTTTCTGCAGTAGATTAGTTGACAGGTGGCCTCTCCAAGATAAGTTTTTGCTAGCTTTCCTCTTGACCATCTGAATCGTAATTACTCGTTGGTCCATTTGCCAGATTAGGTTGACTTCCAGTTTATGGATCATTTGCTGGCTCTTACTTCATTTCTTGGCTCTCATTTCGAGCTGCTATGTGGTTCGCTGCTGGATAGTGGTTCACTACTAGTGAGTGGTTCAGTGTCGGTTCGTAGTTCATTAGTGGCTCACGGTTGGCTGCTGGCTAGCATCTCACTGGTGACAAGTGACACACTGGATATCGTGATTTGCTGCAGCCAGCAGTTCACAGCTGGTTAGTGGTTCATTGCCAGCTTGCAGGTCGTTGCTGGCCTGTGTCTCAGATCATGGCTTGCTGCAAGGTTGGGAATTGTAATTGGCTCAGTAATTTAATCATTCCACTCAACTAAACACACAACCATAATGTGATACTCTTTTTCTGCAAGTTTATATTTGAAAAAGTAGCAGTCATTAAGTGTAGTATTTAATGAAGTTTTGACAAGTAGATGTCGTTGACACCATCCTTCCCTACCTCCCAGGTTCCTCTCATCCATATCAACAACCAATGGAGCTATTGTGACAAGACAATCTAAATGTTGATAAATTATCGTAGGATGTAGCAAACTGTTTGGGTTGTTGCCAGCGAGAGGGCCTCATAATCTTCCAAATAACTTTAATGTTGCAACCTAGCGACACGACATTCCTTTGGTGTTTTACATTTTAAAGAGCAAAACTTTGATGTCTTCTGAGTTATGACCCAGCAAACCACTCCAGTGATGCAGAGTGTGCATAAATCAAACACAACTTGTATTTTGAACTTTCAAAACTGAGAATTTGCTGTGGGGCGAGCCTCCCGTGACAAGCTCACAGCACCAAAAGACTTTCACTTTATCATAAGTTTAAAACATTTGAATGGATTGAAAGCTGGTTATCCATGCTAAAGTCGGGCGTGTTTCATCTGAAGTCAAACTCCTCACAGCGACACTGGAGGGAAAGTGCGTGTGCTGACTGGTTGAAGATTTAGATTATAATATGGAAAGTCGTTTTGACTGCTAGTTTTCCATTTTTTCCATTTCAAAGTGATTTACTTAATTTGGACACAGCATTACTAATAAATACATTACTGCCTTGTTATGATAATAGCAATGCATACATAATATTGATATAACTTATTAATCTTTAAGAAGTACAGTATGGAGGCTCTGTGACTTTACATAATTATTCATAGTACTATGCCATACTCGTTTTAAATCATATTTAACAATAGAGTAAGATTTGGCTCACTCTTGAGAAACTGTTAAAATAAATTTTTCTTCCTGCCTTATTAAAGTATTACTCATCATATCCCTTATAAGACTTTTATGGTAAAACAAGAGTTCTCTTGAAGCACATTGCTTCATATAGAAACTCAAGGTATTATGCAAGAATTTATTGTCTTGAAACCTATCTGCATGTATGAGAAACATTGTTTATGACCAACTCTCAGTTTTGCTCGTGTAAATTCATTAATCACAAGACCATAGCAACAACCAAAAACCACAATAAAACACGGTCTGAAAGTATTAATTGAACATTATTTCAAAGCACTGTTGAATGTTGTCTAAAAGCAGTCTTTGAGCATGGGTCTGAAAAAATAAGCTGGATTATGAAATGATCAAACTCTGTTTTGAAGTACATCTCGGACTGAGAGAGAACTTTTCTAAATAGGCCCTTCCTCAAATGCTGGACGACCAAGTAATATAAAATGCGCCTTAGATGTGTAAATGTGGTGCCAAGCTCTACCAGTTTCTGCCTAGTCGAGTCCAAAATAGTTTTGAAACACTGATAAACTAATTTTTGTGTTGGACATTCACTTGACGATGTTTAACTTAGTGACTGAGCTGAATAGTCTTAGAGAATTCTTTCTAAGTGTAATTAACGAGATGAAATGTTTAAAATTAAAGTTGATAAATTTTGTCAAGCAATTGAGAATACTGTATCTGAAAGTTCCAAAATCTAAGATAAACTTTACACAGGTTAATGTTCAAGCAATAAACGGGAAACACTTCTGCCTTTAATCTCTACTTTTGGCGATACTCTCCTTGGTTGAAATATCTTTTAAGTGTTGTAATTCAATGTACCAAATTAGGGATTGGCTAGTCAGAAATCTAATTAGAGTACCCTCTCTTATTCTCCAAGTTACATGGCCGGTAAGCTTAGATGGGAGTCTTTGATTTGTTAAAATATAAATAACTGAAGATAAGATATATAAAAAAATCAATCTGGTTTGTCTTGTTTCCTATCAAATGTAAGAGTATTACAGTACGTACCTGCTGTACCTGTATACTGTACTTGGGTATTTAAACAGAAGCTCAATCTTTATTTAAAAACCATGTAACTTGTAGGCTGATGTTAACCATATATCGCGAGGAGAGGTCTTGTGTCATAATGCTGGAGACATTAAGGCATCAGGACATCCCTCACTGTGTTCCCATGTGTGGTCAATGTAACTACTGTGTCTTAGCAGAATATTTTTGTGTACTTTCATCAGTGATTCTCTCCATAAACTTATTCGTGACCTCCCTCGATAGTCCGGCAGTGTCCGGTTACCTTAAATCCAACAGTGTCCGGTTGTGACTGGTTTACTAAAGTCCGAGAATTTCCGGTTTTCTGAAGTCTGGCAAAGTCTGGTTGCCTAAAATCTGGCAGTACCTGTATCCATCTAACTAAAATTCAGCAGTGTCTGGTATCATAAGTTATGCAGCGTCTGTTTTTCACAAATCCGGTTATCTATAATCCAACAGGATCCAGCTAACTAAAATCTCAATGTCTAAGCTCCACAGTATCCAGTTATCTTAAGTTATCCCATGTCTATTTATCTAAAATCCAGCTGTGTGCAGTATTATTGGTATCTGCTTCCATGGTCTGTTACTTTATCCGGTTACTGTATTTCTGAGTCCCAACTACTGTATTACTTAGTGAGGAATCCCAAACTTTTGTAGCATATGATTACTTAAGGATAGACCAGCCGACTTTAATGCGTTATCACTGTATTAATAACTACTGCACAGATAAGGCTAGACTGAACAAAGTTATCATTAATGTATACAGTAGTTGGAAGAATACAGTATTACCCATCTTACAGTACCTGTATTAATGAGTGGGATGTCAGTCTACTGTATTAATGAGTGGCTGGTCAGCCTACTGTATTAATGAGTGAGCTGTCAGCAGACTGTATTAATGGATGTGGAATGTCAGCCAACTGTATTATTAAATAAGCAGGGAGTTATTCATGTAATTATTTCTGTAATTACAGTATTAGATGTGATTGTGTTAACTGATGTATAAAAACAAATACTATGGTGACAAGTGAGAGTGATTCATGTTACTGCTATTCAGTGGAGAGTGCCTAATGTTTTTTCAAAAATTAATAACTGGTGTCCTTCCGCCAAGCAGTAGAATTTTACTCAATATGTCCAGACCGCTACAGTAAATTTGTAGTAACTGATATGGTATATAATCTCGAAGTGTATTCTGTATTATTATACGGTACCAGTTTCTTGATTAAGTATATAATGTCTGTTTGAAAGATGGTCTACAGTCTCAGGGTGATAATTAAACTGACTGGTGAAATAACTATATAATGATAGATTGAATCTCGGTGGTTATTGCTTGATAACTTATTAAACTGTTTTGTAATGATGGAATGAAGGCTGTAAAGTTATAGAAAGGTCACCTCTGTCTAAAATCCTTTATGCTAAGTGATTTGTTTTTTTTGTAACTGACCAACTGTTAATGAAAAGAATCGTCATGACTCCGAAACGAAGACGAGTCTGAAATTATTAATTCCATGATGACGGTCTTAAGTTGTTGTGAAGCCACTGCACGAAAACTCCAAATTTATATGTTGCTCCAAGATCGTCTTGATATGCCATACACAACTGACTTGAACATGTCCGGACTATCATGGGAGGTTTGACTATCACACGCCTATGTGCTTGAATCAGTAGCAACTATTGTAGTCAGTTTTGTATTTTGAAAGCTCTAAAAAAAGACGCAGCGTTAAATTTTTTGAGAGCTATGAACGAATTATAGACGATTACACACACAAAATTAAATTGACAGGTAGTGAAGGCTTATTTAGCAAAATACCCCCTGTACAATTATTGATATATTTTGACAAAAGAAAAATAAATAATGCTTTACTCACACATACAGTATTGCTTTAAATATGGCAACGGGTGAATATTGATACTATATTTGTAATGAGTTATATATATATATATATATATATATATATATATATATATATATATATATATATATATATATATATATATATATATATATATATATATACACATCAGTGAAAAGTGATGTGTATATAATATGACATGATCATCGGATGACATCAGATGGCATCCATGTTTGTCTGTTGGTTATTTAATGAATGAAAATTATTTATAGATATATTTTATGATAATGTTGCAAATCATTTATGCATATTCCATATGATATTGCAAATTATTTATATATTTTAAGATGATGTTGCAAATTATGTCTGTGGTTTAAGCTGATGATGAAAATTGTTTCTATTTTAAGTGTTAAACAGATTATTTCTACATTGTTGAAAGAAACTCTTACAGATTATTTCTACGCCTGAAGGCAATGTTGCAATTATTTCTTCATCTTACGGCAATGTTATAAATTATTTCTAACGTTTTAGGCAGTGTTGGAAATTATTTCTACGCCTTAAGAGAGTGTTGCAAATTATTTATACATCTTAGGGCAGCGTTGCAAATTATTTCTATCTCTTAAGGCAGTGTAGCAAAATATTTAAACACCCTAAGACAGTGTTGCATTTAATTTTGTCTTTAGACAGTATTGAATTTTTTAAGCCACTTTAGAATAGTGTTGCAAGTTATTTATATGCCTTATGACAGTGTTGCAAATTATTTTTATGTCTTAAGGCAATATTGAAATTCACTTCTTCATCTTAAGGAGAATGTTGCAGATTATTTACACATTTTTTCAGTATTGCTATAGATCCTGACACATAAGGCTGCCTCACAACATACGCTTACTCGCTGATCTTAGTGACGCTTCCGGGGAATTTAGGGGTCACCCTCTCCTCACACCCGGGACATTCATCCTCCCTCTCTCTCTTCCTCGAGTATGGAGTAATTGTGATTAATGAATTATATCACATAAATAATAGTACAGTAATAATATCATTCTTCCTCACCCTAATACTAAATTCTCCTGAGCTCATCATGGACTCACACTATGCTCTGATTATAGGCTGTATAATTTAATCACTTCAAAGGTTAAAAAAAAACGTAAACTAATCTGATAATAATTGTTTACCTATAATTTTCCCTGAAGCGTTACTCTCTCATAATTATTGATGATTATTGTATAATTCTATAACTTGTATGATAATGAGAACCATAGTATATACCTCTGTGGATAAAAAAAAAGAATATAGATATTTATCCTGACTGTAACTCAGTCTGTAAAAAGGATTTGATATTTTACTGCTATCACGGTAATAAGAAATCTGATCGTAAAAAGGCACTTTTATTGACCCTTTATGATGCATGTTACTGCTTATTGATTCTAAGATGTCTGATGATTCTTGGATGTCTAAGGTCCTTTCTGATTCTAAGTTGTGTGACATCTTTATTTAAAATTGAAATTGAAACTTTATTTGGTCACAAACAATACAGATAAAAGCAACAACATTATTGTTTGGTTCTAATATGTTCAAGGATGTCTGTTGTTTTAGTATTGCAGACACAGTTCGGTATTAAGATATATGATGTTATTACTAAGGTGTCTGGTGTCTTTTGTTGAACGAAAATGT